AAACAAATAAAAATGTATACATTTATAGTAAACTGTTGTTTTCTATTTGTATTGCTGGAATAAGTACCTTACGTGTTCAGCTGGTGCGGTTCGATTTCACATGACACTGTGCCAAATTAATCACGCGGATTGTTTTGGTTGTATTTACCCAGAATGCCCTGCACTATAGTCCGCTTCCTGTTTTGGAGCAGTCGCTGGTCCGCTTGCATTCAGATATACATTCGAACCAAAGTTGACTTCAACTGAACCAAGACAGAGGTTTGTAGCCAGACCAGAGTTAACTGTTTTTGGTCCACATCAGTTTGATTGTCCATTCACATCTCACTAAATGAACCATACTTTCTACACAAAGTAGAGTTAAATCAAAGTGGACTAAACAGGGCACCCCAAACCGGAGACTTTAAGAAAAATGTTCAGTTTCTTTATGAGTTTGGGTTTTCTAACTCTACCACCTGTGGAACCAGGTGGGAGTATATTATAGTCAAGTTTTGTCTTCTTGCTATGGATGTAATCACATTCTGTATGTGTCAGTCGAAACTTCCTCTCATTTCTTCGCTATTGAAACATGTGCTGTTACTCTTATCTCCGGCTACCTCTGCTCCACTGGAAAGAAGCCGGTCACTGTAAACACGACCTTCCTGCTGCTTTACATTTCTCTCTCCCTGCTGTGGTAAAATAAAACCTCCTCACGTGTAGCCTGCCAACCTCACTGCATCGCGTGACTCTTTTATGTGTAAATTCTATCACATTTACGTGTTTTTCAAGGTATGGAATGTTCCTTTTCTTTTGTCAAATGATTTCGCAACGTCTCAACTGACATTGAAAGTGTATTTGGTGGTTAAAGTTGAGGACACCAGCGGAACAATATGACACAAATGCATAAAAATGTTGTGACTGCAAAATCTTTGAGCTTTAAGTATGTCAGAGTGGAAATCTTTCTAATTCACCCAAATAAATGTTTCACAATGTGATTGTTTATCAGAAAAAGCTTTTAGTGTTGATACTAAACCAGGAAAACAGTTTTTTACTTTTATTGGGTAACCTTGAAATGCCTATTAGGACATTAGAATAACTAAAATTACTTTTCAGGGATGTTAATTTGGGTAATTTCACCTTCAGATATTTCCGCTGTGGAAGCTTTTATTGCTGTATGTTTTGTACATATTGTCCTTGCAGCTTTTACTGTTTTGCAACCATTTCTTTATTATGTTTTCTGGAAGTCACTTAAATAGGTGTCCAAATTTGATAACAATTCAAAAAGGAATCTTTAATTTATTTATTGGAAAAATACTAAGTAAAACTAATAATTACTGCATTTCGGCTCAACAAAATATATCATTGGACTGACTCTTCTTTGTTTGGTAGTTTAACGCTCTGCTCACAATTCAAAGAAAATTAAATGTAGTACACTGTGAACTCTGCAAGGCAGGCCAAACAATCTAAATAAATGATGAGACAGAAACAAGCTTTACGAAGAGAACAGGTCCTGATGAAGTTGTGCTTCAAATTACGACTTCACTCACCCAATATTCCAACTTAAATCTAGTAAAATTGTAACTTTTTTCTTGTATTTTTGCTTTATTCTTATAGGACTATGACTTTATTCTAATGTCAGGACTTATCGTAATGTTTTTGTCTTACTACTTCTTGTATTTTTAAAACTTTATTCTGATAACTTTGACTTTTTTCTCGTATTATTTCCAGCTTTGATTTCCTATTGTAACTTTATTTTCATAATGCTACAACTTTATAATTAAAATGTTCTGATTTATTTTGTTATACGGTACAGCTCCTGACAATGTGACTTTTTGTATTATTGCAACTCTTTTCTCATATTATTACTACTTTAGTCGCGTAATGTTATGATTTTTTTATTTTTTTGTCATCCCGCCTTATTTTCATATTATTAAAATTTTATTTTGGTTTTATTATTATTACTTATGACTTTATTATATCATCAGGGACACTCCCCTATTCTCATATGACTTCTTGTGATATGACTTTATTCTTGTAACGTTTTCTGTATTATGACTTTTTATTCTTGTAATCATTTATTTTTTCTTAGCCCGTGCCTAATATTCTGTCATAATTTTCCCACATCACTCTGCTTCTTTCACTGCCTGACCAGCTTGTAGAGCCTTGAACATTCAACAGCCTTTCTCTTCTGGAGTGAGTTAAAATAAAATAAATAGAAGTTATTTCCCATCCTGTTTATTTTCTTTCCCTCATAACTTATTTCCTCAGAATGCTCTCCTACACGAATATTCCTCCTCCTTTCCGTCATACTTTACATAACAGAAGTTAGATTCATAAAACTAGATTTCTCTTACATTGCATAACCAGTTTCCCGTCTTTGTCTCGCCCCAGTTCTCTGTTCTTTTTTTCCCTTTATGTTGGTTATGATGCTTTGTTGGGTCTGGATTCCTAAGCGCGGATCAGTCGGGCTGCGGGGGGTTTAGTCTCTTGGGCGACTGAGGAGCTGGAGCATTTGAGGATTTTGTGCTACAGTGGTGTGGCTCCTCTGGTGTTGGCGTCATCAGACCTTAAGTATCCCAGAGGCTGCTGGGATACGTCATGTCAGACTATATATCAGACAGCAGCGCTGGGTTGGCCTCAGGCTGGAAACCACTGAGATCAATGGTTTGCTCTGTTTTCACAACGTGCTGTAAAACATTCACAAGCTAGAACGTGACTGAAAGATGTTTAACCTCCAAATTAAATACCTTCTGATTTTCCCCAGACGTGCAGCTGAATTGAAGGTGAATTCTAGCAGTAATGATGTAGGCCAACATAATGTTTGTTTTTAGTAATTTAGTTTAAGAAATTATCAGTAATAATAATAATAATAATTAAAAAACGACGTTTAGTTTCTTAAATTATGTAAGAATGAAATGGTGTTTTAGAACATTTTTTCCAGCCTACTCATAAATATGCACATGCACTGCATGGTTTATGTGCTCAATACTTGTTCAAACTCCTTTTTTAATAAAAACCCTTTACTGCTTGGCAAGAGGCCAGTGAGCCTGCAGCACTGCTAAAGTGTTGGGGAGAACCATGTTCCTTTTGATATTCTTTCTGCTCACTACATCTGATCTTACCTGAATTGTGGTATTTGACTATCATAATATATGAGTATAAACTTTGCACCATTCGGTCAGCTAGCTTCTCTTAATTTGGCTCAGACCAAGATTTGAAGAGTCGGAAATCAACACTGAAACCTCCATTTTATTTTCTCTCTCTCTAAATAATTTATATAATTATCCAATTTTGATACACTTTTTACATATTGGTTAAAAAAGTGTTTTATCTTACAGTTCAGTTTATATACATTGAATACCAAATACTTTCTCTTGTTTTAAGTTTCGCTAAAATTACCCAAATTATTTCTGTTTGTCAAATGCCACAATCATGATAAAATACAGTGACAAAATTATTTGTCAATATATTCTAAATCAGAGGTTTACATCCAAAATTATGTGTCTTTAAGTAATGAGCCCACATCGTCACATCATGGCTTTATGAAATGCTGACATGTTCATTTATGCTTTAAATTGATGTACATATATAACTAAGTTAATTAGCAGACTAATTAACTTAGTTAATAGTGTACCAGTTACTTACAACTAAAATTGGTCTAGAACACGGCCAATATTGTGACATGTTTGAGTTAATTGGAGATGCAGGTATTTTAAGACCTGCACCACGTTTCAGGTGTGGCCTAAACGAAGGGAACAAAAATTTACCAATACTTGAAGGTGCCACATTAATCTGTTCAAATTATTAGAAGTGAGCATAGACTTGATGGGAATATCCAACCATCATAGTAGAAAGGAGATGGGTTTGTGGCGCAGAGGTGAACTGGTTTTGATCCAAAATGTGCAGCTTGACACCAGAACAAAAGCCAAAGTTTCATCTAAACCTTGAAAGACAAAGTCATTGTCCAGAGTGAATGTGTTGTTCACTAACATGAGCCAAAGGCCACTCAGTGAGGAGGATGTAATTACTTCAAAAGACACATAAAAAGCCATATTTTAGCTTGGTAATGGACACAGGAAAAATATCTTTCTTTCAGAAACTAAAGTGAAATAGTTTGGCCATAAGGATGTTAAGGCTCCTTTGTAAATGGGTCTTCCACCCTAAACATACAGCTGAAGTGGTTACAGAGCGGCTTAAGGACAACAGAGTCGATGCTTTGGTGTGGCCGTCACAAAGTCCGGATATCAATTCTCCGGAGAAGTTGTGGGCAGATCTGAAAAAGAGTGAGTGAGGTAGGAGGAGTGGGCCAGAACTCCATCAAACTATTTAGAAACCTGTGGAAGAACACCTGGAAGATTTGACCCAAGTCATACAATCCAAAGGCAATGCCACCAAATACGTAAAGTAAATAAATCTGACATTTTGGCATTTAGCCAATAGAAATAATTTTAATAAATCCAGTTGACAAAAAGAAGAAACAAGAGAAGTTTGTTCTGACTTGATGTCACACAGGGAGAAATTAAATACCTTATGAATTAAATTTTTTTGATATATTTTTACCATTAACGAGGCATAATTGGTATTAAATAACGGATCAGGTTTCATTTTTTAATCTGTGTGGAAGCTAAAATAACTTTAAAAAAAGATGAGCTGTAGTTTAATGTTTTTTTTCACTTCGGCTGAAGAAATTACGTCATCTCAGGTTTCTTGTAAATTTTGACCTCTGGCCTCTGCTGTTACTCTTTTTAAAAGCTCTTCCTACATGCATAATCCTGCAACTTGTTTCGAGGTGGAGGGATTATTCTGCCGTACCTCCTTATCAGCACGTTAGTCTCACTAATGCGTGTTGTTTGTGATTAAATGCTTTCTGTCAAATTAACTTTTGTCTCACCTCCTCCCTCTTCCTCTTTATCCTTGACCCCTGTGTGTTTCTCCTCTGTGCCTCCCCCACCTCTTCTTCTCGTTGCTCTCCTCCCTCCTTCGACTTCCTCCTGCTTCTCCTTTCTCTTGCTCCTCCCACACAGATGCTCCCAGCCGCCCAGCTTGACAGGAGTGATGGGATGTGTCAACTAGGTATTACACCTGTCCCAACATCTTACACTGCAAGCAGTGATAGTGGCTGGGGAGGGCGTGGGGCTCCAAAGCCGTTTACGACAGGAAACGGCTGTTAAAAAGGCAGATTTAGAAAAAACAAAAATGAATAAATCAAAGGATATTATATAATTTTAGGGCTGAAGGGGTCAGGAGAAGTATATTTTAAGATTTATACATTTCTGTTCTTGACAGAAAAATACTGGCAGGAAATTAGCAGAGAAATTAAGGATTCTGTGTCATTCAAGTCATTAGAAAACTTGCATTTTCTTTTGGTAAAATATGATTCAAGCCCACAATACTGGTTTTCTTTGTGTGTTTTTTTTTTTTTTTAGAATATAAAGGCGGGGTAGTATGTTTAAAAAAAATAATGACCCGTAGAAGCAGGTGCACATTTACAGAAATGTGGGCCCCTGGGCCCAACCCACAAAGAAAAATTGATTTTACTAATGCATACTATACTTAAATAACAGGAATGGATTGATAGGTTTAAATTCTCCGGTTCACAAAGAAATCATCTATAACTTAATAATTTTACAAATACTTGAATATTGTTTAATAAAAATCTCAAAATATCAATACAACTCTACAAATTTGGAGCCATGAGTTTTATATAAAATTATTTTTGTATTTTTTTTGCAAAGCAGGCATTCATTAAAAAAACTGAATAAATGTAATAACCTTGGGATTAGAAAATGGGTCCCCGTTAAACCCCAGCCCTTTTTAACATGCAGCCCAACATTCTGCTTTAATGTTTTAAAGAAAGTTTAGATATTTCTGCTGTCTGCCATTTGAGTGAAATACGTCACCATGACCCAGTGATGGACAGAATAAATGAAGGACGTAGAAGTGGGTTGATTTTTTTTAATTTTTTTTTTTACTATTATACAAACATAGCTGGCGTAATGTGGTTGCGCACCTTTACTGTGAACTTTTTGGCTGAGGATTGTTCCTTCAATCGACGCATTAACTTTTTTTTTTTTTTTTTGCATGCAACGTAAAAAATAAGCTATTTCTTAGCTACAGCCTGTTTATGTTCTCACTCAGCTGTAATTGCAGACTTTTGTATTTGTAGAAAACTCAGAGTAAACTACAAAGTCCTGAAGCTAACCAACACCCTGACTGGGTGTTAGTTAAAAACTAAGTAAAACTAAGTATATTCCAAATACTGTTGGCGCTAAATAGTGGCATAATATAAAAAGTTTGTACTTTCTACTTCTTGTGGCAGTGTATTTTTTATTATCTGTTGGGTTCAGACAAGATTTCCTTGATAACTTGGAAATGAAATGATTGATTGCTTTGTATGAATAAAATGAAAGCTTTCTGTGATTCTTAATTTGTTAGGTGGCTTGGATCAGAGTTTAAAGTTGGTTTTAATGAAGAATTTTTGGAGTATATGTTACCAAATGCCTTGGAGGTCAGTAGTTTGTATATTTCAAATAAAAACTGTTGTGAAAGGAAGAAACTTTATATTTGAAAACAGTTTTAGTGATTTATTATCCATCTCTACCAAGAAATTTGGTTTGGTTGGCTACAAATAGATATTTAACACCAAAGTAATGTCATTTTTAAAGGTCAAAAACCCTTTCAAGAAGGGATGAGGAACATGACTCAATTATGATATTTTGTCCTTTTGCCTATTGTGTGCATTCTTCCATAGTTAACTGTATGGATGTTACTGAATGGCACAGCAATCATTCCTGCAAACACTCCCATTTGCACTCTTATGGAGTTGTTGTTTCATAAAGATTTATTTAGTTACTAATGTGACCCACATGAATCTTTTCACACTGTTATTTATTGACTTTTGGAGACTGGCTTGCTGATGGTTCAGCATCATTCCTGGAGTCAATCACTTGCAATAAAAGTATTTTTTAAATAACTAATTGCATTGGCATCATGCAAATCAACATATTAAAAACAATTTTATATCACGTTTAGTTGCACATACATTGTTCACAGACATAACAGTCATTAATTTTAAGCAAAACTATATTTTGTCAAATGCCATCATCAAGAAAATACACATGAAATGTGTTTATCAATGTTCCAGTTATCAATAATCAAAGGCAACATAAAGGAACTCAGTGTTTAAGCATTGTTGCAGTTTTCTGGAAAAAATGTCTCTTTGGATTGAAAAGCCTTTCAGAGAGAGCCTTTCTCTGTTCCTAGACTCAATGAAAGGAACCACGTGATGCATTTGTTCTCAATATTAGGGAAGATAACAGGAACTGAACCAAGGGAACCTTAACATATGTTAAGGTCGTGTTTTACAAAGAAACCGAGAATTAGACACACCCATCATGTGACTGATGATGAAAGCTGAAAGTTTTCTTCTTGAGTTTGTTCTTTTTTTATTTTTATATCATCTGTTTTGAATACTCTCTTTTTCTCTCTGTCATTTTCCCCCATTGCGTCATGCTTTTTTTTTTTTTAAATAAATTTTGATGCCTGACTCTGATGGTAGGAGGAGTCAGTTTCACATCCGATCACATTAATAATCCCGGCTTTTTGTCACCAGGACAAAACTTACAACTATTTTAAAAGCCAATACTGCAAAAATAAATAAATAAAAAATATACATATATATATATATATATATATATATATATATATATATATATATATATATATATATATTTGGACCTGTTTAACAATAAAGGAAGAGTGCAATATTTTTGTAAAACAAAATAAAAAATTTTTTAAGAAAATTGATGTTTTCCTTACAAATGTGTGTATAACTTGGGCTATTCTTGAAAAAAAACAATTTTATAATTATGGTGTTTCCATTAAATAAATATAATTAAAATTACTCATGAATAACTTTGTTCACGTGATCATTAAAAAACATGTCCACCATCGTCTCCTACCACTTCCTGTCTTCGTCTTTTCTCCCAGTAGTCACATCCGGTTGTTGGTCATGTCACTCGTGTGAGGTAAATAAAAAAAAAAAGTGTTTCCATTTGCAGTTTTGATAAATATTAGTTCTTTTAGTTGGAAAAATGTTTTTTGAACTTTGGGAGTTTCCATTAAGCAAATCTAATTTTTTCATTTCAATTTAATGAACATAGTTAGTGTTGGGTCATGAAGAGGAGCATTCTTTGACTCATTTGAGGAAAAACGTGCAAAAATAGAGTCCATTCTCAGTAGAGAACTGGATTTGGTTTCGTTCTCTCGCTGCTGTATTTGGTCGAGCTGAATAAATTAAGTGCAGATTAAGGTCTGCGTTAGTGTGAAAGTTGCAGTGTAAGTGTGGTCAGCCTTATAAAATGAAAGAAAATACAGAAAGGCTGGTTATTAAAATATACAATTTTTGGTCCTAAATAAAAATGATCTCTATTAATCTCCTTTGCTATGGGTCAAATTTGTCCCATTCTTGAATAGCAGTTTGGAGCCACAGAAAATTAGTTCAGGGCCTGAAAATGGTCCTGACTTTAGGCACCGCTAAAGTCAGGACCAGACTTTAGGCACCCCTGCTATGTATGATTTTTAAATGTTTAATAATGCATCCAAAAATGAGTCTTTTTATATTTCTGCTGTTGATTCAAAACAATAAATTGTAATTGAAGGTTCAAATTCAAAATGGCGTCTTTGGATTAATATTTATCCTGATTGGATGAGTGACGCACAGTTTACCCTTCTGATCTCAGCATGACTTGTGGCAGAGGTTAGATCCTGAAGGAAAACAATTTAGTTCTCAGTTAATCGCCTTCTCAAGTCTTCAGAGTGATATTTATTTATTTTTATTGTCTGCTGCAACCAGAATTGCCTATAGGTGCCAAAACAGAACTGAAAGGACCTGATGTGAAACAAAGAGGCAAATTTAGCTGTTTTTAAAAACTTAACTGGGAGGTTCAATCCTTCCGTTCCCATCATAAAACAAACACCAATAGATAAAGACGTATAACCTTGAAGCCTTTTATGGTCCTTTGTTTAATTAGAACTTAAGGCTTTTTATGCTGATTAGGATATTGATGATTATCTGGTTTTGTTTGTCGTTTTGCACCAGGAGAGGAACTCCTTGATGATGATGATATTGGACTGAGGGATCCGTCTGCAGTGTTCACACCAGAGCAGAGAGACAGAGGAGGGACCGAGGCAGAGGAGGAGGAAGAAGACATCGAAGAAGAAAAGATGGGAGTGGGGAAGAACACCACCGCCAAATCAATGGACAGCAGCAGCGAAGGCGGAAAATATGAAGAGGAGGCCAAACATGGAGCCGAATTTTATCCTATTCCGGTAAATAAGCTGAATTTAATGAAAGATTTTATGGTCACTGAACTCATTCCTTAATTCATTGAACTCGGAACAGAGTTCAATGAATTCATTCCTGAACATACATACATAACATACATACATACATGTTTTAAACGCTTCATTTTCTCCCCGCCAACGGTTAAAATAACTGAGATGTTTGGAAAAATCAGTGATTTACCATGGAAGCTGTATTGGAGCCCCTGCTGTTTGTTTATTGCAGCCCTTCTGTGTGTTTCTGTGTAAATCCAGTAGTTGGGCATTTTCAGTGATGGACATGTTTGATGTTTGGTCTTTATTGTGAAACTGTGCTGTGAAAAAGTTTGGCTCCCAGTTTACCAGTTGGATGACATTCCAGCCTTCACCACTGACTACAGCCATCATTGCAGACAACAGAAACATAAAACCCACTAAGTCAATCAGTCGATGGAGTTTCTGGAGGAGATTCAACATAATATGTTAAATCATTTTATATCTATCATCTTTCTGTGAAGATGATTAGTTCTGGTTGTGAACCAGAGCACAGGACGTGTCAAACTGATAAGTAAAAAAACGTAACTGTGTTAATGTTTTGTGTTTTAGGTTGTGGTAAACGGAGTTGGCGGAGCCACCGGAGATCAGGACACGGAGGACACCGAGCTGATGGCAATCTACACCAAGGATAATCAAGCAGCAGAGAAGGTCACTGAAAATGAAAACATGGAAGTGAAATTCAATGTAATAAGTAATTTTGTCTATCAAAAGGGAAAAAAACAAACAGATGTAGTCACAAGACTGATAAAAGCTTACTCTCTGTCACATGATGACACCGTGGTAATCGCAGTCAGCAACCCTCTTTCTGTTGAACTTCTCTGGAAAGAAACGCCCTTTAGCCACCAGATTTAAGTTCTGGTTTCTGATGACTTTTGTTAACAGGCTGGTTTTGTTAGGCGAAAACTTTTATTGTGAAGGAGTTGGGTATATTCTGCTGCAGAAAGAGGAAGCAGTAAACTGTCAGCTTCTTATCTGGGAGATTAAAACTGAATTGGGAAACCGCTTTATGATGATGTTATTACACAATCTGATATTAAGATGGCGATACGACTCACCATATTGTGCTGCTCTTGCTTTAACGATAATAAGCATTGGGAATTGGCTATGGTCACGTGTTATAAGTTCTGGTGCATTAATAATTAATAGGAAACAAACTTAAGATATTAGGATTAGGCACTTACTGTCAGGCTCAGGGTGATTAATTCATGTAGCCATAATAATTGTATTTTGTTGTTTTAAGTGAAAAAGCAAAAATATTTACAAGTAAAGAATTGTTTTGTGCACTGAGGTGATGGTTTATTTATTGTTGCTATATAAATTGAATTTTACTTAAAATTATTGCTCGATTCTGATGGTGAAATTGTAAAATATGAAATTTAGTTGATATATAGAAATTTAGTTTGTCCAGTTTTAATTTTGTTTGAACGGTGAAGTTTTACTTGTGGGATTTTGCTTCGTATTGTTCACCTTCTCTCATGACAATGTGAAAGTGTTTAATCCTTTGCAAACGAGTGTTGAGCGGACATGTTGTTTTTAGCTTACCACTATATTTGCATGAAGCATTTCTTATTCAAATCTAAAGGACGTGTACAATTTGACTTATGTTTTAAGTCATCAGACATGCTTAATTAACTTTTGACAAAGTTGTATACAAAAAATAAGTTTCTAAATGCACAATTGAATTGTTCTTTTTTTATGATAAAGATAAGCACGTCTGTCAAAGTGGAGCAGAAAAGGTCGACTCATGTTACCATGAGAGGGTTTTTTTTTTCCTGTGTCACAATGACTGTGCATTTTTTCTTTGACAGACTAAAAGGCTTCCTTGTCCTAGTTTTATGTCATCTTCTTGTGCTGAAATCTTCACTTTTGTCCAAACTGTTCAGATATGCTCATCAAAGTTTATTTTGTATGTAAATAAATCCAACTAAAACGCATTATTGCCTCTCTTATTAAAGCTATCTTTACAGGGATTTAGCAGGTCAAAGATATTCATCATGCTGTCTTTTCTTTTTCTCTATGCATAGAGCTCAATTTCAGAGACGCTCGACAGCACAGACAGCATGGATGCAAGGAGGATGGACATGATCTATACCATTGAAGACACCCCACCCTGGTACCTGTGTGTGTTCTTAGGCTTACAGGTAAATCTGCATTTAAAGCTGGATTAAATAAGAAAGAATAACACCACCTGCATGTTTTTGTGCTTCGTGTGTTTAGTGTTTTTCCTCCCATCGCTGGGCATGTAACCATGGAACCCTACTCAAAAATAGTATTTGTTCCCACCGACTGTCGGTTGTCTGACATCGGACATTGTGTCATGCGTCATCTCCCCTTTATGCCTCAAATCTGTGAGGCGGATGACCTAAACCTCACAAATATACAAGTGACGCGAGTGCAAAGCCGTACAAAGACCAAACAGTAATTATGTTTACCAAACATACACACATGGAATAAGTCCTAAACTGCTGCTTAAATAAATGGATTTTGGTCTAAAATAGCGGATTGAAGCGTTAACAATATCTCATCCTTGTTTTTGTTTTTCTGTCACTAGCAAATAAAATATCTGTACTTTGCTCTTAGTTTATTTCATTTAACCTTTCTTTTGCTAGGATTAAAAAAAACAAATTTACAACAGTATCCTGTGCTCGGCTGCAGCAGAACAAGATAAACACATGAAACTTTCAACATTTAGATAAGCAAGTTATTCAAGTCTGCAGCCACATGTTTCTGTCCTCAGTTTGAGATGATCTTTGATAAATGGTGATCAGTCCATGTTTATAAGTCCTTAAACCATATGGAAACAATGTTTTGCACCCAGATTTATGTCATTTTAAGAAAGACTTGCATTATCAGCGTTTTTTTTTTTCTTTTGTTTTGCATCTAGTGGAAAAAAGTTTTGAGGAATGCCAACTGTAAATGCTTCCTGGGCATGTTCCATCCAGCTCCAAAGCATTTAGTTTCAGGCTATTTATCGTCTAGTTAAATGTCAGGAGTAAGAGCTGAGTGCCCAACACACACATCAAATAAATCACGCAGGTGTGGCTTGATTAGTCCAGTTATGTGCCGGTACAAACATGAATGTTTTTATAAGAGAAGTGGTCCTGATTATAGCTAATTCTTCTAGCAATTATTTTAGTTGGTCTGGTCAAAAAAGCAACTACACACACCACAGGAGTGACTTTTGAAACAAGAAGTGGTTGCACAAGTTTGAATTTATTGTGGATTTTTAGAAACCCTCAGTGTCGGTTACACACACGTGTCTCAACAGAGATGGATAGAGAAGCAAAAACTCTTACCAAAGTAAGAGTTGCACAACGTCAACATGTTTTGACTCACGTAAAAGTAAAAAGTAGCTGTCTAAAAAATTACTCAAGTAAGAATAAAAAATATTTAACAAAAATACTGGGAAAAAGTAAATTACTGATGACAATATCTGATTTAATTGTTTGAAGAGATGGCATCAGACAAAAAATTGCAAAGCATATTTTGAGCAGAATACCGTTTTTTATATATATATGTAATAATAGAAACTGGACAAAAAATGCTTGGTAAGATTTTGTGTGATTACAGTGCAGACTCTGTAGATGGAAACCAGTATTAGAATAACCAACATAAACTGAAGCTGTGTTTCTCTGATATATTTTTTGCTAAAACAAACTTTAATTCAGTAATTTTACTAACGGTCAATAGGTGAGGGCCAGGAGGAAGGTCTTCACCTGTCAACCAACCTTGTGTAAGGGCTGCTAAATGTGCTTATGCTGCACAAACAATTTACAGTTCCAGGAAAACGGTTTATCTGCCGTCATTGGCTGCTATGCTAACAAGCTTGAGAATTCACAGCAGGCCCTGCTGAGTGGAAGATTCGTAGCACAGAAAAGCAGAGTGTGTAAGCAGCACATACATGAGCATGACTGACAGCGATAAGACCCTCCTCCTGGCTCGGATTGGTGGCAGAGGATCACAGTTTTGTTTTTCAGATTATCTGAAATGTAATGACACAACATGGTAATAATTTTAACAAAAGATCTAAATATGTTTTTATGAATGTCACTGTAGCTTTACCTGATCATCTTGTGACTTTTTTTTTCCAGCACTACCTGACGTGTTTCAGCGGGACCATCGCCGTCCCGTTCCTTCTCGCAGAGGCCATGTGTGTCGGCTTCGATCAGTGGGCCACCAGTCAGCTCATCGGGACCATCTTCTTCTGCGTCGGCATCACTACTCTGCTGCAAACGACGCTGGGCTGCAGGTAACAGTCCAGCTTTCCTAAAGCTGGGGGGCCATTAATGCCACCATCAGGTTCCTCTTCCTCCACCTTCCTCTTTTGGTCTTTGTGGCGTGAATAAGTATGTAAGCATAACTTTGTTGGGTCTACTCAGCATTCAAGCATTACTTGAAGTTCCCCGTTTTGTTCATGTGACTGTTGTCCTTTAAGACTCAGACTTCCTCTTTGCCAAGAGGAGAAAGCAGCTTGTGTTTCATAAACTTGGAAGTGAAATAATAAAATTCCTGAAACTAAATACAGGAGATTTAAAGCACTTAAGGGAGCGAGCTGCGTGCCGTTCAAGTGTTGCATCACATGCTGGCAAGTGGAGCGAACCAAAACTGTAATAAGTCCACAGGCATTTGCTTATGAGAAACTGCTTGGAAGGCCTACTTTCAGAAATACAAGTGTATACACGTCAGGAAAAGTGAGGTGACCCAGTTCTCACAGATTTGTTCTCCAATATAAGTTTCTGCTGGACTGTTTACAAACATTTATCCAACCTTCCTCCACTCTGTGCCGGGTTTTAATCTTTTTAGCATCAAAGTTTTTAAACTATCTGCTTCTCAACCTTGTTTTTCATCAAATAATTAACTTTTTCTTTTTGACATAGATGTCTCTTTTGGATGTTTTGTATATTTTGTCATAAGTTTACAGTTAAAAGTGAAGTAAAAAACAGAAAAAGTGAGCAAATTTCATTCACATTTGCTGGAACTGGAACAAGTTTTTGTGATTGTGAGCACATATGTAATTTTAGAGACTGTAGTAGTTATTAAAAATAAAGAATATACTTTATTATATAGCTGTCCCATATGATGTTTTAAACAGTATATAGCAAAATAACCTTAACATGCTTTAGAAAGCTCCAGATCTTTCTCCCTGGTTGTCTGATGTGTTCATTGGTCTTTGACGTTTTTTTCCTCTTGAAAGTTTTCCAACAAACCTTTTAGGGTTTTACGGAGCTGCTAGATTTATACTGCCTCTGAATTGCCTAAATTAACCTATTTTGATGTTTTGTGGTGTCTGGTAAATGAGTCGTTTCAAAAACCTCCAGAATGTAGCCCGTTTCAGAGCAACCCAGGCTGAGCTCCAGCATATTTGGTCAGCTCTACAATGGCTACTGGAAAAGTGAATCCACTTGGATTCTTGTTGGTTGTGCAGGAGGCTCCACAACTGCTTTTCTAAGATGTACTGTTGTATATTGGTGTACAATGGCCATTTTGATGTTCAGCTGTAAACGTTGTGTTGGTTGTGTGGCCAGCAGCAGCTTGTCTGGATTTAAAGGGACAGGAAGCCTGAAAGGAGCTCAAAATAGGAAGAACTGACCAAAATAAAACCTAATTTAGTGACTCTGTGCAAAAAATGTAGTGAATATGTTTTGTATAGAACATTGACCTTTCCTACCCTGTTCAGGGAAGCATAATAGATAACCTTTAGGTGACTTCTGAACACTAGATGCTCTGATTGATTTTATGATCGTGACATAAAACACACTGAGTATTGTGGTTGTAATATACAGTTTAAGAACACTGAAGGACTATGAAGAATTTGCAAGCCACTGTCATGTGAAGGCTGATGGGAAGACTCTGCATGTCGTCCATCAAGGTTTGTCATCAGAAGGAAATCATCAACTGCAGCGAGCCAGGAAGAATGTGCCATGACGGAGCACATTCCTAGATAATGAAGAATAAAATGACATTTACTGCCAGCATGACACGAAAAGGGAGGGAGTAACCTTGGCAACTGGTGATGTCACATAGCAATTATTATTTTTAGGCTAATCGTGTAACTGAATCTGGAAATTCCTCTTTGTTGAATCACATGCTTTATTACAGTCATGTTTGCATGTCACAGTTGAAAGGATGAGATTATATATTTTTTAAATCTGCAGTTCACACATAAAGGAAAATCTGGCCGATGTGGTGGGATGAAGTGAAGGTGGTGTGAAAAGGAGAAACTGATTTTATTTTGACTGTTAGTTTCGGCATAGCACTGTCAACCATTTCACATGTCTTCCAGTGAAGCTAAACTAATTCAAGGCATTATCCTTAATGCCTTAATTATCTTTAACTACAATCATGTTTTGTTTTGTTGTGATGTCGTATATCTTAGTGCTTGATTTGTTGTTTATTATTTGATTTTACCCAAATCAGACTTTTTAGCTCAGCATATTTGGTCCCATTTAAGTTTGAGGTTTCTTTTGTGAGTCTGACCTCTCAACTCAGAGAAAGCAATTCATTCACATTTCCAGGACAGAATTGGATACTTGGTTTTTAAAGTGTTGGGCCAAAAGAGAAAGGAAAACACGTGTGTGAGAGGGTATTCGTGCTCGATTTAAGTTATGTAAGCTGTTGTCCTTTCCTCACTCTTTTCTCGATTCCAGTCACAGACTGGCTTTGGCTGTGACATTCCTGTCACATCAGTCCATCGCTCTCTGAGGTGAAAGATGGGCTCCTTGTGTCTCTGGGTTTTACTGAAATGCCACTGAAGCAGAGAGGGAGAGAATGACTGAATATGAGTATAAATAATGTTAATAATACTGTGTAGTTATCGAAGTTAACACAGACATATGTTTTTATGTTTTGTCTGAAACATATCATGTCCAAGATACCCAAATAGTCATTTAACAAGATGTAAAGAAAACAAATTCTACTTTTAAAATTCACTATCTGGTCTTAAACAATTAATTATGATGAATTAATTCCTGAAATAATCAACAACTAATAACTGGAGAAAACTGACTCAAAAAAGGCCAAATCTGCACAGTTATGAATTAAAGATCAAAACAAAACGTTCTCTATCCTTAATTATGTTTCATCCTCAAGTCGAAGTTTTAGTTTCACCTGGATGAATTTCTGTAGGAAAATCTACTATAAAGCACCTTTTGCATCCACAAAAAAAAAACAAATCTGTAGATCTGCTCCACTCTGCGTCGATATTAAGTCGAGCAGAAACTGCTGAACTTTTCATATGTTGATATTAGGATTTATTTTTGCTGTTTTTGGTACCAATAATCACTCATTCACTAAAGGAATGCTTTTTAGGTGATGAAATTAATTTAATCATTTATGTGCAATAAAATAAACTTGAGTCAAATGAAAAATCAGCAGAGTATAGTGAATTTTTTAATTGGATAAATGATCATAATTGTTAGTTGCAGTCCTACGCATTATATTTGCAAACTTTGATCATTTTTAAATTCCTAATGGCTAGTTTTACAACAAAAAAAGAGTGATTTTAAATATCAAAGAACTAGTTTTTGTGTCATAATGAGAGATTCATTCTTGTTTATTAGCACAGACTCAATCAACAGTGATCAGCTTTTTTTAGAAAAGAGGTTACAGCAGAGCTGGTATGAACACTTTGTCTACATTTCTGACTTGCTGCGCCTCTACAAGCCAATTATTACATCTCTGAAATCCCTTTCTGACATGGATTTGTCTTGCTTTTCTCCTCCAGGTTGCCTTTGTTCCAGGCGAGTGCGTTTGCTTTCCTTGCACCAGCCAGAGCCATCCTATCTTTGGATAAATGGAAATGTAACAGCACAGGTAATGCTGCTTTTCTCCGGTTTCTGCCACAGGCTTCGTACTGCTGCTCTAAATCTTTGAAAATGCTTGAAAAGTTCTTGAATTTTGAAAGTGTACAAACCCTGCTCCTAATAAAACTTTTTGTTTTTTTAAATATATATAATTTACTGATCAGTTTGTCTTCAAACCTCAACAGAGCATCCGTTCCTGAATGGGACAGAGCTTCTCCACACCGAGGACATCTGGCACCCCAGGATACGCGAGGTGAGGCAAAGGAGAAGAGGGAAATTTAACTGATTACGAAACGAGCTTCAATAAATTGAATCGGAGGTTATCTATATTATCTTAAGTAACACTTTATGCAACTTTTTACACAACAGAATTAGAATACAGTCCCGGGTTTTCTCTAACCTAATATAAACGTACTTTGTTGTGATGGAGAAATTTCTGTCTCCATACGTCTGCAGGGTTTGTCTTTATGTGTCGGATGACATTAATCTGAGTTAACCTTTCCAGTCTGCGTGAGCCGGCTCGGTAATTGATATTTATGTGACGTGAATGAGACAAAACTGATTTTAAACTGGAAGGGAAAATGCTCAAGATGAAGCGGGGACAGAGAGGAACTTAACGGGGTCATTACCTGGAACATCGATTTCATGATGTTGATGATGGCAGCAGTTTATGGTCATTTCTTTCTCATTAAATGTGATTTAATGTGATGTTTGTCCAGGCTTTCCTTCAGGCAGTATCCATATTTACAGCTGTGAGGTAAAAGTTTAGTTTAGAACGGCAGACTCTGATAAACAGGACATATTTTTTTTAGTTTAAAAAGTCTTTTTCTTGATAATGTGTCTACTTTAAAGTCTTCAACAGAACCATGGCTTATTTTGATTGGATTTTAAATAGGAGACATAATTATTTTCCCTGTTTTTCACTCGCCTCATAAAACTTCTGATTATTTGAAATGTGGTCGAATCATGAGATGGAAAGTAGTTCTAAAGCATCACCACTTTCCAAAAACCACATGATAAATGGAATATTTCTGACATTTTATATTAACTGAATGAAGTTTGTTATAAAGACGCATTATATCCGTCTGCAATAAACTGTACAGATCCAGACGGACCTGTTTAGCTTGTTGAGATAATCTTTAATTTCTCATGAAAAGTGAGTCCAGTGCAGAGATTTGTTTGTATGACTACAAACACTTGTGTCAAACTTGAGGCCCTGGGGCCAGATCTGGCCCGTCTGAGCTTTTTATGCGGCCCTCTGGTCCCTTAAGTTTTTCAACAAATCCACAAAATCAAAATTCGTTTTAGAAAAAGAATAAAATCAAATGAGATCTGGTTTGAAAAAATTAGATTTTTTCTTTTTTTTCAAGCTTTTTCTATTCTCTCTTGCTAAACATGTTTATTTAGAAACAAGCACAAATAAATGTGAAATAACAAGTTATTAGTTTATATCAAGTTTAAAACATAAACATAATATAAACATTTATATTGTAGCTCTGCTCAGCTGCAATAGCCGTTAGCTTGTAGCTGAGCAGAGCAGTTTGTTTTATGACTAAATAACGAAATAATTACCTTTTCTCCAACCTTTCACAGATCCAGGGTGCGATCATCGTGTCATCCCTGATCGAGGTCTGCATCGGAGCTCTGGGTCTGCCTGGGATGCTGTTGAAGTACATCGGACCCCTGACCATCACGCCCACCGTGGCCCTCATTGGGCTCTCAGGCTTCCAGGCTGCAGGCGAGAGGGCTGGAAAACACTGGGGCATCGCCATCCTGTAAGCACAGATTCAAAATGCAAATCATGAATTTATGAATAACAGGGGAAAAAGATTCTCAGACAAACCTGACTGTAAAAATATCTTAAAACATCAATTAACTGATGCCCGATAATATCTGACTCGATACTACCTGACCTAAAGAAATCACCTTAGTAGAACAGCTGGATCTTAAAAAGAAAAGCATCATGCCCTAAACACTTTGGTACTCCAGTTAACCACAGTGAAAGCGAAAACCCTGCACACTATTAAAATCAGTACCTACGTTTTTGTTTACCTGAAATTGCGCAAATTGGAATTGCAAAAATAAATGTACTTGATGGCAATTTTTAAAAATTTCATGTTTCTATATGTTTTTGCACTAGGAAGTTATTCAGCTGCATCAAAACTTGTGTATTTCTCAAAACTACAATGTTTGAATGCCATGAATTAGCAAGATTAGCAAGATGTCTGCGCACTCTTAAAAGGTTTCAAATCCATTTTGTGTAAAAAAAAAATCTCTAATCTGTAGTAACAGATCAGGCTTGAGACTCTGGCAAATGGCAAAGAGCAAAATTCTTTTATTTCTCTGTCGTTTGCAAACACACAGCAACCACAGCACAACAGCTGTACCTACAATGAGTTCTGACTTGGAGTTGCAAGCTCTCACAACATATAGGATTCTTTACACAACATGGTCACTCTGGCCCAGAGCCAGTTGAACAGGTTTACTGCCCAGTCATGTAGCCACAGGATTGGACAGGATGCAACCTCTGCTTACTGAAAGGTCAGTTAATTATTTTGTTGACAAACATCTTCTTGTTCAAAATATGGGAGTTTCCAAAAATTAGGATGCTAATGGAAGAATTTTCCATACCAAAAACATTGTAAGAACTTGTACGTTCTCTGAGCTTCTAACATTCAATGGAGAAAATTGTTAGACCTTAGAGCTTATTCCATCTTACTGTATTTACCTAAACTACTAGAAGGAGAGGTCAAAAGGAAACCTATGTAACTGATTCTTCAGAGACTCCTTGACCTACACGTTTTAACAGACTGAACAATACTAGTGTTAAATGACTAAATAATTAAAATAAAATTCTTAAAAGAAATAATAACACAATTTTTACTTCACAATTCATCTAAACTTGAGGCTTTAAAGTGTCTTAAGTGAATAAAAAATATAAGTTGACCTGTCATTTTGAATTTTGACGTTGCAGTTCTACTTAATTACAATTATGTATATTTTCTTGTGGGACTTTTCTGTGACTAGGCGATTGTGGCTACTGTTAACTAGCTGCTAATGTACTCTAGCTAGCTCTTGAGTCTGTCATGAGTGCAAATGTATCACCTTCTAGCTGGACGACGTGAATGTCGTCTGTGCTAAGACATTTGGAGATACTTCTTTTGTGCATTTCTGTCATGATACAGGCATTAAATTTCATTGTTAATTATCTTATTACGGTCTTTGGTTGTGTGGCAGAGTTGTCGTCTTGCAATCGGAAGGTTGTAGGTTCGATTCCAGTTTCCTCCTGCCACATGTCGATGTGCCTCTGGGCAAGGCACTTAACCCCAAATTGCCTACTGGTCTGCGTATCGGTGTATGAATGTGTGTGCGAATGGGCGAATGTGGCTCTAGTGTAAAGCGCTTTGAGTGGTCAAAATGACTGGAAAAGCACTATATAAGTTCAGTCCATTTACCATTTAAAAGTATCAAATTTGTTTTTGTGAAACCTGCAGAGACCCTGATTTGTCTGAGTCTTAAACAATAAAAGTTGAGTCTACATCTGCCTGTCACCAATTTTCTGGTGCAAAACGAGAACTTTCTGGATATTTTTGGTGTAAAAAGAACGATGTAATGACTAGCTGCTGCAGTTTCTGATGTTGAGGTTGTGTGACATCAGCTCCTGCCGTGTCATTGTTGGCTGGAGGGCCTTGCTCTGCAGGGACAGGGATCTGTGCCTGTAGCTGCCAGAGTTCCCAGGCTGTTAGGATAATTGATTTGCACCGAATCCTCTGGAGTCGTGGCGTGACGCATTCAGGACTAAATGGAGCATCTTCGAATAGGATTATTTCTTACACTGGGGAACAGAATGTGTAGAAAATAACGAGGCCCTATTATCTGACTGATGGGCATTTTTGTGTCTGCAGGACTATCTTTTTGGTGCTGCTCTTCTCTCAGTACGCCCGAAACGTTCACTTCCCCCTGCCAATCTACAAAGCCAAGAAAGGCTGGACGTCCTACAGGCTGCAAGTTTTCAAAATGTTCCCGGTGGGTATTCGTTTTTCTGAACATTTATTTCCCTTGTAATGAGTTCATCTTGTTTTATTTAAAGATTTGTTCTTGTACAAGTCAAATTATTCAGCAGAAGTAATCTCATTCTCCCCAGGCCTCTGTAAATCAGTCCTTTTATCCCCTCTGCAGGCCAAATAATTAAAAACACCACAGGTCTGTCTGATTTATGTGTCTCATTTAAGATGCTTCACTGTGATCTCAAAAGCCAGGAGCGAGATGGAGCAGTTGATATCAGGGATTTTATGCAGAAAAATGTTTAATTAGTTGTATTTACTGATACTTTAAGCCACTTTTGTGCATCAGGTGTTTTTTTTATGTATATTATTTAGCATATAAATAAAAATTAAGACTCAGGACTTGATTTTGACAGGTATAAATATGTTTTTCTCTTCTGGCGAATCTAAAAGAGGTTTTCTTCTCCCCTGCATGCAGATCATTATGGCTATTTTGGTGTCATGGCTGCTGTGCTTCATTTTCACGGTGACTGACGTTTTCCCACCGGAGGAAAACAAGTACGGTTTCTACGCCCGCACTGATGCACGTCAGGGAATCCTGAAAGCTGCGCCGTGGTTCAAGATCCCCTATCCCTGTGAGTTTCTTCAAGATGGAGAGAAAGAGAGTTACAAACTTCTTATAGCAGGTTTAATATTTAGGATGAATTGGAATATTGGTTGAGCTTTAGAATTGCAGCTGTTGTTTTACAGAGCAATAATCTGATTAAATGTAAGGAATCGATTATTTAAACAATCGACTAATTTTGTAATCGATTAATCATTAACAGGGTCATTCAGACTCAAAAGGCCAATTGCTGAAAAAATTAAATATTCAGAACAGTAATTAAACCATAAATGTAAGATGGATGGATATTTCAATAATTTTAAATAAAAAAGCTTTTATTTTGATTTAAAATTGTAATTTTATAGTCTAAATATTATTGTATTTAAGACTATAAAATAAAATATTTTATAATCTAAAAGTATTGGACTACAGTTTAGTCTAGTATATTGTAAATTTTGGACCGTAAATATTCCAATAATATTCAGAATATTTAAGTGTTTACTTGCTTATCTAAAAAAATTATTGAATTGTTTCTTTTCATTTTTTTAAATGTATTTCTCATATTATAAATAAAATCTTGAGCGAATGTGGCACTCATTATTTGATAAATTGTCAGAGTATAAATAAATGTTTGAAAACTTTGTTTTGATATTTGCTATTTATTTGTTTTAGCTCCAAAAATGAGCATTGAAATGTCAAAAGGTTCTATGTAGCAGTTTAAATGGTGCAGTTTTACACAAACAGATGTGGAGCGTTGGGATTAGTTTTTGTCTTCCTTGACGTGGAAAGCTTCACGTTCAGTGTTGGAGGAGCTCTGATCCTTTCTGTCCCTCCTTGCCTACAGTCCAGTGGGGAACTCCCACCGTCACGGCTGCAGGTGTGATCGGCATGATGAGCGCCGTGGTGGCCAGCATCATCGAGTCGATCGGCGACTACTACGCCTGCGCTCGCCTCTCCTGCGCTCCTCCACCTCCGATCCACGCCATCAATCGGTGAGGTGCTGCTTTGTCTTTAAAGCTCCGGCTGCAGGATTTAAAGGGCAGCATGACACATTCATGTCCGTGATGTTTCTGTTCTGGATCATTAGGGGAATATTTGTAGAGGGCATTTCCTGTGTGCTGGATGGCGTTTTTGGGACAGGAAACGGATCCACCTCCTCCAGTCCGAATATTGGTGTCCTGGGAATTACAAAGGTAGTAAACCGCTGCCTTTGACGAGGGCTGGGATTCCTAATTTTCCTTCTTTCTTTCTTGTTTGTTTTCCTTTTTTATTTCTTTAATTTTTGTTTTCTTATATTTTGTCTTTTACATTTTTTCTTTTTCTTGTTTCTTTGCTTATTCTTACTTTTCTTTTTTTCTTTTTGCCTGTTTTCTTTTTTCTTTTCTGTCTTGTTTTCTTTCCTTTGTTTTCATTCTGTGTTTTCTTTAGATCTTATTTTCTATTCTCTGTTTTTAATCTGTCTTAATGTTTTCTTTCTTCCCCGTTTTTCTTTTTTTGTTTTCCCTTCTTTTTTTTCTTTCTCCCTTATGCAGATGAGCAAAATAGACAAAGATTTGTTGTGAAAGCCATTTTGTTGGTACCGTGTTCCCCTCCAGGTGGGCAGCAGACGTGTGATCCAGTATGGTGCCGCCATGATGCTGCTGCTGGGGCTTGTGGGTAAATTCAGCGCCCTGTTTGCCTCTCTGCCTGACCCGGTCCTGGGCGCTCTGTTCTGCACGCTGTTTGGGATGATCACGGCGGTGGGACTCTCCAACCTGCAGTTTGTCGACCTCAATTCCTCCAGGAACCTTTTCGTCTTGGGCTTCTCCATCTTCTTCGGTCTGATGCTGCCCAGCTACCTGAAACAGAACCCACTGGTCACTGGTGAGCCAAACATTTCTAATGAGCTCTTATTAGCGGATTAATTACTCTCCAATGTGTGGTGCTGGAAAAGTTTTAAAGTTTGCCTTGAAAATACTTGAATTTCACTGTGGGGAAAAGTGTATGAATCCTGCATCCAGTGGTCTAGAGGTAATGTTTTGTAACACCACCCCTTATTAAAGCAATATTTTCCTTTCACTTCACTGATAAACCCTCATAAAATCTATTAGAAAACCTAAAATAATTTTGCAATAATTGATGCTTCTATTTTCAGAACAATAAATCAGACAGTTGCTCAGTCTGTTTTCTTTTCCTCAGGCATAGTTGAAGTCGACCAGGTGCTCAACGTGCTGCTCACCACTGCTATGTTTGTTGGAGGTTGTGTTGCCTTTATTTTGGACAATACTATACCTGGTAAGAGTTTTACTCACCGTTTCTAAGTTTGCTCCATGAAGGGAAAGTATGTGGGTGATAATTATGACAAGAACAAGGTAGTTTGGGATTTGCAAAACTATTAAAAAATTTTTAAAAATAACAACGTGGCATTTATAGAAATGCTGAACATGTTAGATGTTTATTTTTTAGTTTTTTGGGGAGGATTCTTCAGAGGACCAATACACAAATCTGCATCTTTCTTCTTTTTTACTCAAAATTGTTTTTTCTTTCTTTTTTTTTTCTTTCTTTTTTTTAAATAAATAATAGCCTTCATATTTAAAAAATATAACAACGAAAAACAACACTTTTGGGTCGGTGGGGTGGAGTCGGTTCATGAAAACTCTTGGCATTTATTTATTGCCCCTTTGCGATGCAGTTACTCTAAACACAAGGAAACATTTTCCTTCAACCTGTTTTGCTCTCTGTTCAAATCCTGAAGTCAAGCTCTGAACATCCAAACACTAAAATAGAGAACCGAGTTTATGACAATAATACATTTAAAGAAAAAAGCCTTTCAAAACACTCGGGGACTCTGAGCAAACAAGTTAAAAACAACACAAAAAAATAGTTTTTTGGTCTTTGGAAAATGACCTCCCCATAAGTTACATGTGACATTGTATGTCAAATGGGGTTGCTAGGTTACTGTGCAGTAACCTAGCAACCCCAGCCAAGCCCGGCCTGTTACCTAGCAACTGAAATGGAACTCCAGGAAGACGAGTGTTTTGTTTTGTTTCTGACTGGCGTCCAGAAGCCACTTACTGGATTCTTGTTGGGTGTGAAGGAGACTGTTCTTCTGCTTTCCAGAGCTGTATGATTGTGTAATTTCACATCTGTTTGCAGCCATTTTCATATTTGAGATTAACCCTAACCCAGCTTATTTGGATTTAAAGTGCCCTAAAATGGCTCATTCTGAAAGGAGATTAAAATAGGCAGAACTGACCAGACTAAAATCTCATTATCTAAGAAAAATGTAATGAACTTTTTTGCATAATGCATAGATTATCCTGAACTGAAGCATAGTAAATCACCATTAAATGAACTTTAGACTAAGGTCTGGTTTTCTACCCTCAGGTTCCCTGGAGGAACGTGGCATCAGGAAGCTGAAACGAGGAACCGGCCTCAGTGTCGCCGAACTCGAAGGCATGAGATCCTATGATCTGCCGTTTGGAATGGCCTTCTTCCGCAGACACGCCATCTTCAAGTACATCCCCATCAGCCCCATGTTCACCGGCTACCACTGGGGGCGGCTTCAGGAGGGCGGCAGGTGCCGGATGGGACACGGGGACGTGGGGAAGCGGGGCGGGGTCGGCACGGAGGGCGGCAACGCGCCGGGGGAAAGTCGGGTATAGCCCTCGTCCTGGGAGGGATCTTAGATTTTTAGGGAGCGAGGGATGGTACACTAAGGTGAAATGATGGGAGCACAGACAGAAGTTGAGCAGGATTGTGTGGAAGGAAAAAAATGTTGCACCAACTTCCCCATCGGTATCTGTTTTTCTTCGACTTGTCTGTGTCTGTCCCCACTTCCCTCTATGCTATTTTCAAGCATGCTGTAGCAAGTCACAGCATGCGTTAAAAAGATGTCACCATGCAGAGGTCAGTCAGTCTGTGTGTGTGTGCAAGGATAAAACAAGCTTCTTTCCAGAAGGAAACTAATGGACATCAAATCAGAGCCTGTGTCTCCTAACTGCTGCTAATTTACTCTCCCTGAATTCGCTCATAAGAGACCTTCTACTAAAAGCACAGCAGGGTGGATAATGTTGCCTCTAAACTTTGCTATGCAACCACATTAGTCACACACACACTCACACTCTCTCATACACACACACACACGACGGCCTCAGTAGAAGTAGTTTGAGCGCTACGATGCACGATGTGGGGTCATGCAGACTGATAGAAGTAGTTTGTCAGGTGCCCTTAGCCATGCAAAGTGATTGTGAGATTTATTTTTATTTTTTTGCACTATCTGCCTCCAAATTTTAATAGTAGAATGTCATTTTAAAGCCGAGTCGTTTTCCTTCTTCATTTAGCATCGCATCACATACCCTTTTTTTTCTTTCGATATAGTGAGGATAAATTTAGGCAAAATTTTTGCTGTTAGTACCAGTTTACATCTCCTTACCGTGTCAGTATTATGCAGAAGAAACTGACAGTCAGACTGACTTTATGGAGTTGAATTAGTGACTCTCAATGGAGCTAAACAGAATTGGTTATATTTATTTGTTTTACGTGTCAACCTGACATTTTCAAAAGCTCTGACGACGCACACGGCAGTAGACGCGTGGCCTTGTGGTGCAGCCTTCATGTAGCATATTCAGTTGACTGAATGCTTCACAGGCGCCACACATTCCTGATCCTCGGTCTGGGTTTGGTCACTTATTCTTGTTTTTTCTGTTTTTAGTAGCAAGGTGCTGCTGTTTACTTCCCTGAATCAAATCCTGACTTCCTGTTCTCATTACTACGGCGCTGCCTAAGGGACATGGGGGATTTTTTAAACATTATTTTATTTTGCATTACCTCACAAAAGTATTGTGTTCTGCAATAGATTACAGTCATAGTGATAACAAATAAGAATTTAAAATGACACGCATGTAAGCTTAAAGAGACTCAGTGAAAATGTGTTCATTTATTTTTAACTCTTTGGTGCAGAAAATTGTTCTAAAATCAACCTACTAACTGTGTTCGTTTTTGTTACGCAATATCTTTCAGTGGAAATGGAGCTGCACATGAAAACGACCTTTTATTAACCATTTTAAAAACACACAACCTAAACTTGTGTGATGGCAATATAACTCATTGAAAACAATAGTTTGGATGTGTCTTTAATTTCTTCCATTCAAGTTTCTCTGTAGAAATCCCATGTTTGACTTGTTTATGGTGCATTTATATCCCAAAGATGTAAAACTCTGGATATCTCACAAAGGAGATATTGCATTTGAAAGCCTTACAAAAACCTTACATTGAAGCAGAAAGACCCCTATTATTCAAAATACTGCATTAACTGACACCTAAAAACATTATTGTGAGAGAATACAATAGTTCTGCAAGAAAACTCCAAATAAAAAAAATTCTCCATGTCTCTTAGAGGCTCTGTACATTAAAATGCACTGTAGAAATATTAAAATATTGATACTTACATTTTTTCTTATTTTTCACATGAAAACCAGAAACTTTAATGGTTTCATGTCATTGAATAATACAGATTAGGGCTTAATTTAGAGTTTGATTGATGTTTTCAAAACATTTTTAAGAATAAAAACCTGAAAAGTGTGGCCTGCTTCAATATTCACCACCTCTGATTCAACACTTTCAAAGCAACCAATTGCAGCTGCAGTGTTTTTGCAAATTCTCCTTTGCTGGATGGCTAAAAGTTATATTGGATGGAAATTTATCAGTGCACTTCACTCCACACTTTTCAGATTTTTATCATTTGTATAAAATAAATTGAAGTTTAAGTGGCTTGAACGGCTTTGTCCTGTTCAGAGATTTCCCTCAGTTACAAAATATGAATTCCAGCTGAGAGTTTATCAAACCAAAATTTATATTTTTGCTTCTTTTTGTTGTTTCCAATTTTTCTGTTACAGAAAACCAAAACTTTAAAAGTTTTAACATTTGTTACTACTGAGATCCTTAAGCGCTTCTTTCTCTCACTATGGCAGTTTTTTAATTTATTTAGGTGATAAATTGCAGGTTAGTTTTAAGCCATAGCTGAGTTTACATCCCCTGATCCGGTACTCTCCGGCTCCAGCACCTTTTTTGTTTTTAGTAGTTTTTATTCTCAGATTTATTTTTGCTTCTCATCCATTCCATTTACAGCTGCTTGTATTCTAAGCCAGGAAAATTAAACATTCAGACGTTATTCAATTTTAAGAGCTGGGGCCTTTTTATAATTTTTTATTTTTTTTATTTTTATTTTTTTTTTGTTGGTTTTTTTTGTACTGCAAGTGCTTGCACATAAAGTGGTGCCAACAACACCGGGGTCCAAATAGGCAACTCCCACTAACCTGGACTTTAAAATGTCCTCCTTCAGTAGGTGTTAAAATGTTTTACTAAATGACAGAACACGAGTCGCTGAATGTCTTCAAAGGGCCTTTTTTATTTATTGACGATAGAATCTGTTTATAGATTCTGTCCTGTAGTGACTTCACTGATTTCCCTTTTAAATGTTGTTCTTCCATTTCATTCAGGAGTGATTCAATCTCTCAAAAACTTTAATGTTAACGTAAAACATCCAACATCTGCAAAGACTCTGGTCTGTGCAGATTTTCCATTCTTGATGGGATGAGTTCTAACAAAAACGTATTGAAACGCAGTTACCGCAATGTCGACATTTGCAAAATTGCAATGTGAAGACTAACTTGATGCAATATTTGGTGGTATATTTAAAATTTTAAGCAATGAAAGTGCTGATAATGCACATGTGGCTTCATCCTGAAGCCACATGTGCATTATGTGGCTTGATTAATGATAAAATCAATGTATCAATAATCAATGATAAATTGATTATTGAAATAATTGTCAACTATTTCATTTTGCATTTAAAATAATTTATTACATTTTTCCTAAAAGGAATTTTTTTACCCAAAACTCCCCAAGTAACTTATTTAAAAAAGAAATAAGAAAATATTTCTTTTTTTAAATAAGAACAAAAATATTTTTTATATTTATATAAAAAAATTTATATTTTTTATATAAATATTTTTCATTTATTTACATAAAAATAAATGAAAAATATGCTGAATGTGTCAAAAAAATGTCTGGTTAATTGATTAATGGTCAGAACAATTGACCACTTAGGCTAAGTTCACACTGCAGCCTGAAGTGACTCAAATGTGATTTTTATCTTTGCAAAATTTGAATTTTTTAGTTTTTTAAATTTTATGTATTTGGACGTTCACCTGTGTTGTTCGGACCGTCATGAAAAGATGAGATACGGGTCGCATTAAGACAAAAATTGCGTCACTTTGAGCTGCAATGAGAACGCAGTCTCATTTATCTGATGATGTGCCGCCATGTTTGAACTAAGCTTTTGGTTCGATGGGATCTGATGATCATCCTGGATAAGATGGAAGAAACAAACCAGAGAAAAGCTGACCTTTGTCTCCGTTTAGAGAATTATAAAACAAGCAAACCAACAGTGACGACCAGTTTGTTATTCACCCACCACTTGGTGGTGAGAAAGTAGAGATCAGAGCAGAGATTGATTTGGTGTTTTACGTCTCCTTTTCGCATTGAGTTCCTCATAACCTTCACACCGTGTTTCACCGTTTCCCAAAATGCACCTTGCACATCTCCTGTCATGTTGTCCCTCATTGTCTCCGTGTCCCTCGAGAGTCCCACAGTCCTGCAGTGAAACTGAATTCAGTCCCTTGGTGTTTGGTGTACCTGGTTGTCTCTCCCGGGGATCCTCACTGTTCATGTTTCTGGCTGCAGGAGGAGACACCTGCTGGTCACCTTGGTAAGAGCCGGCTGCTTATCAGCAGCTGAGTGAACCTGCCTTATCTCTGACGGACGCCATTAGTTGGTCTCTGTGCCTAAAAGAGCTTCCTTTTTCACCTTTGGCTCCCAACTTTCAAGTTTTTATCCTCGTTTCCATCTGATATTCAGAGTCCGATTACATGTAGTTGTTAAAGAAGCAGCCCAGTTCGAGGAAAAGCCGCCGGCGTTCTGGTTTAAAGTCCATTCAAGTCAAGTGCTGGCTCTTAAAAAGGTGGCCACAAGGTGACAGACATTGATCCCTTTCAGTTATTTTGAAGGGGGCTCTGCCTGAAGATTATACTTCTGTGTAAAGCGTTTTATCTTTTTCAATGTTTGTTTTTTATACATAATTTTTATGTTTTTGCAAACAGGTATTTGTAAAGTTGAAAAAAAAATCAAAACTTGTAATCTTAAATCATGCTGGAACGCGCACCATCTTGTACATTTTATTTAAAACGTCAACACATTTAAAGCTGTTTGTAATCTGTGGTTTTGGTGAAATCCTTTTGTCTGTTTAGGACCTTTTTCATACTGTATTTTTTCTACTCTTTGAACATTGCTTTCTGCTCATGTTACACACCACCATTGTAAATCAAAGAACAAGCTGAGAAACTTTAGACGTAAAGACAAAACAGAAACATGTATATTTAAAGTTTGCTGAAAAGTCTGGAGGAGAAATTGTGTAAACTAATTGTAACATTAAAAATGATTTATTTGTTCCTAAAACTATTTAATAAGATGTTGCAGAATAAATCAGTCCTTTGTCTTTTTTTCCCACTTTTTCACCACATTATTTTTTTTTCTTATAACGTATACAGCTGCAGGTCGGTAAACTACATGTTGTGGAAATGTTTATTTCAGTAATTTAAGGTTAGTTGTAGTATTTCAAATGACTAATGAATAGCCAAACAAAACTGCATTTTATTTAATTTTCAGAAATTTTTATTTTGTAAAACCAATAGACATTATTTTATAAGACCATAACTTGGTACAGAAATACTAGGTTATGGTAACATTACTGCCTTTTCAACCGGGAGAAGCCCCGAATCGTCAATTAACCAGGCTGCTCAAACTCCTGTTTCCTAGCATATTTATGGAAAGTTAAGTGGAAGGAAAAACCTGCACATGGGGAGTATTCTCAAAAGGAACATGAGACACCAGAGCTACAGACTGATTGCCTCCATATCAAACTGCATCACTGTAATTCAAGCAAAAGGAGTCTAGACCAAGCATTACATGCATTTACTGTACATGGACTTAGTTTTTTTGACCAATAGCTCTATTAAAAAACGTTTTGAATGAGTTCCTTTTTTAAAAAAAAAACAAAGTAGTGAAATTAGCTTTAATATTTTAATCTAGTGAGATTTGCCAGCAGATCCAGATTACATTTTGTCTCAACAGAAATAGCCAGCAGGAGGCGACAATGTGGCCGAAACGAGACAAAAAAAGTTAGGAAATAATGTAGTTTCACACCGCTGAGCTTTTCTAAGAATGTTCTTTTTGTCAAGAGTTTTGAGTCTTCACACTTGATTTAAATTGTAAATAGCTCCTGTGCTATAGGTCTTGGTTTAGTGCTTTATTCATAAATGTTTTGAATCTGGTCTTTAAACACTTTGTGATGGACAGGCAGCCTATCACACTTTCACATTTATTTATCTTGACAGAAGAGTTAAATAATTTTCTTACAAGTATTTTAGTACCTCCAGTGTAACAGACACACAGCTATTGGCTAAAAACTGAACATGCATTAGATTATTGCCTGAAGGTTGTTCGATAGATTGCATTTTAATCTATAGTTGTGACAGTTATGTCTTGGCTGCATATAAAACAATGTTTACTGAAGCATATTTCAGTAATAGTTAAAGCACATGGACATAGTTTGGACATAATATTGATGTTACAGATTCTGTATCTCATGTAATACTGTCACATGGAAACAGTATTTCATAGTTGCTATATTTTTAGGAGTGGCAGTAATTTCCAGTTAAACACTGGTGATATTGGCAACGCAGAAGAACCTGGAAGCTAGCGACGGAGCAGAAGATGAAGCTCTTAAAGTTTCATATTGTTTAATCAAAACAATATGAGCGTGTGTTTAAAACAAATCATTAAACTAATTGTGGCTGCATTTGCTTTCAAAATCATCACTTTAAAGATTTTAGAAATTTATTTAAAACTTGAGACTGAGAAGTTTCACCTTCAGGCGGCCACTAGGGGGCTCTATAAGGCTGCTGTGAATCTCACATATTTATGAACTTTTTAGCACTTTGTTTTTCTATGTTTTAGCATTTTTATTATTAAAATAAGTTCATGCAGCTCTGTTGAGTGAATCTCATCTTTTTGGGATTCTCCTAAATCAAACATGATTTTATTTACACAGGAGCTAATTTATCTGTACAAACCATAAGTCAATAGAATATCATGATATGGTTATTTTATATACACATATTTAAACACACAAATATATTCACTTTTCATATAAATTTATGAAGTTTATATTATAATATAATTATATAATATAAGTTTATATAATGAGTTTATATATATATAAGTTTTGTAAGTACATTTTGATTTAAATTACAGAACAAAGTGTATATATTATACATTCCATTATTTTTATGCGGTGCTAGCATCCCCAATGGTTCAGGATGCTAGCACCGCCCCTGGTCTAGGACTCCATTAAATAACAATAATCGACCATTGTGCGCGTGCCCGTCTCTCCCATTGTTGTCATGTTTTCATTCATCTCCGCGTGAACAAAGGCTCGAAAATCCCGTTCTCTGATTGGTTCCTGACCTCAGGGCCCCAGCGTCGCTCCTACGCAACGCGCCCCGCCGCGACAGATGGACCTCTCTCTCTCCCCGCCTCTCTCTCTGCCTCTGTCTCTCTCTCTCTCTTGCGCTTTCCGCCTCTCTCTCTGCCTCTCGCTCTCTCTCTCTCTGTCCTTCTTCCACGAGACCCTGGATGCTTCGCCGCACGCGCATCGCGCTGATTGTTTCCAACGGCCGCAGCACGAGACCAAGTTGTACTCATCCGTTAGCCGACGGTTGATCCTCGAGAAAAGAGGAGAGGAGCCGAGAGGGAGCGCGGTGGATGAGCCCAGAGAGTCTCCTAAAGTCGGCAAGAAATCCAGCTCAGGTCGGTGTAGCTCAGTCTGCGTAACGAGATTTGTTTAGAAGATGTTCCGACACAAAACGGATGTGTAGTTTTGTTGTCTAATTAAAATAACGGAAACAATATTACAGAGGACGGAGTTAGCTAGTCCAGAAACATCCTAGCGCCACAAATATACTCCAAAAATTATAAATGTTATCTTTTTCGTTTTGTGTTTTATTTATATTCAGCGAGCAGCCACAAACCACCGCACTTTGTTTGATCCCCTGAACTTAAACGAGAGAAAAGGCTTTTCATATCAGACTTTTCCACAACCAGGGAGACCACATCATATATCAGTAAAACAGGTTACATAACAAGCAAGGGATGGTTAAAATTCCTCTCAGCACACATGGCCAGCTACAGAGGCTGCTCCCAAAGTGGATGCTGCTCCACTTTCCCTCTATGAAAGCTTATAGCCATGGAGTTTGTATTTTTCAAAAAAAGTGCAAATATTGTTTTTTTCAGATTTAATGTGGGAGACAGCAGCCATATTGGATTTTGAGGCTGAAGTGGGTGAGAAAACTGACACATTATCACTTCTGATTGCAAGAAACGTTTCTGCTAATTCTAACTACAAAATTGGTAATGTAAACTTTTGAGTAAAAATAGAGAGCAAAATTATGCAGCATCCTTTTAAATTTTTTATTTAATTTTACATAAAATTAAGAAAATTATGGACAGCCATCGTCTTTATGAGACCATAACAGAAAATAAGTGTCTTGAGTCAGAGGCTTCTTCAAATTTTTATTCAAACTAATCAAATTACTCTGTTGCTAATAGGATTTAAAAAACTGGATAGAGTTCAGTGTGCATGTTCACAATCTAGACCACATGTGTCAAACTCGAGGCCGGGGGTCCAAATCCGGCCCCCATAACCTTTTTGTGTGGCCCTTTGGTGCCAACTGTCAAGATAACACTGCTTAAATATTATTTAATCAAACAAATCAGAGCAGTTTTTGTCTATTTTCTGTCAGGTTTCATCAATGAGTCCCTCCAGTTTCTTGCAAATTATCATAGAAGTTTATGCAAAAATCAACAAATGCCTGCACTTTTTCGTGCTAATGTATAACTATGAGTTTACTGCAGATTTTCCACAAAAATGGTCAAAAACATTTGAGTTTAAGTGGTGCTAACAGCTCCCTCAACCTTAATTGATATTTTTAAATTAGTACCACAAACAGTTTTCAAAAAAATCGCAAAAACCATCTCGTAATCCTGGAGGGACTGATGTTCAATGTTATTTAATCTTAAGAAGTTATTAATATTTTAACAAGTTTTATCAATATATTCTAGCACAACCAGCCCTTTAAGAGCGTTCATGATCTTGACGTGGCCCAAAACAAAAATGAATTGGACACCGCTGATCTAGACTGACTGAAAACCATAAAACTGAACCAAAGAATTGAATTGTAGGAGGTCTGAGAGCTTTGTTTTGGATAAATGATTGTTTGCTTCATTTTTAATATCCACCTTAGAAGCAGCAGCGCCAAACCGCGTTTTGGACACAGACCTGTGTGTGGTTTAGTTTCTGTGTGTTGTTGCTATGACAGTAATGACAATGGTGAGACAGAGCAGTAGTCATGTGGACGCCGAAAGACAGCGGCGACCCTGTTGGTGGGTTTGGGAGAGAAACAGGAGGAGGTTTGAAGCTATTCAGCGCCAAGGACATTGACTGAGGAGGTTTAGAGGCGACGGGGTGAGAGGGCAAAAAACAAGGAGGGGAGGGGGTATTTTAAAGAGAGAATGTGGAGAGAAAAGTCAGGTCGTCGTTAGAGGATGTTTGATAGAAAGTGAAATGGTTTGGAGACATTTCTTAGAAGAAAAAGAAAATACTCTTTATCAACTGAATTTTATGGTTCCAATCCAAACAACAGAGTAGGTGAAGACAACGGGGGCGTAAGAGGAGAAGATGGAGTCTGAGGATTGGCTGACGTTGTAATGAGCCTCAGGGGGATTCAGACGCTCAATATATTCTACATTTGGACCGTTTTCCAGCACATAGAAGAAGAATGCTGGGACCTGAAACGGGACTGGGTCAGCCTTAGGTCAGGCTGTCTGCAGTGGGGTTGATGTTGGATCTGCTGTGGACGTCTTTATCTCAAAAGGATCTGTTTCACAGAGACACGAACTTCTGCTTAGAAAAGAAGTGTGTGAAACCAGATGTTTATATGCACTGAATTAAAAAGGAACATCCACTTTGAAATATCAGATTAAAAGCGTTCTTTTTCAGGACTACATTTATATCAGAATATTTTTATTGTTGTATTCAAAGCCAAATGTTTACATGTATGAAGGCTGCCATACTTTTTACAACTAAATATGTAAAATAAAGGCCCCCTCTTTGAAAAACACAACTACATCATGACCCCAGCCATTACATTCTGAAAAATGGTAAAAGCTTGAAATACTAAGAATACAATATTTTCCATGTGGTTTGAGTGTTTTGCTAAACTTGGACACAATTTAAACTAAATTAAATCCTTCAAAGATACAATGACCTTACAGATAGCACTATATTATTTGCAAAAATGCTTAAATACAACAAAGTGAGTGTTTTGATACAGCCATAATATCAACTGTGTGATATCAAACAATGAAAACATGAGAAGCCGTGTGAGCGATGTGGCCTACAAACCTGACTCAGTTACACTAGCTCTGTTTGGAGGAATGGGCCCAATATACCAGCAAATGGTGGTGAAAAGCTTCTGGAAGAATTTTGGTAATCTGAACTGACGTGAAACAACAAATATATATTCAGATTAAATGCCAGACAAAAAAATAGCATGTTTTATCTGTATTTACTGTGGTACCGGTGGTCCTGATGAAGCTTTGATGCTACATTTGATTCAAGAGTTTTATGCCAGATTAAGATAAAAAAAAAGATATTTTATTCAATTCCTCTGGGATTCCATCACAACTTTAACTTAGTATTTCAAACTTTTCATTTTCAAACTATTTTTTTCTTTTGAACACAATCCCCAACTTCAAGTCTATGTTTAGTCAAAATATGCAGCGCAAACTAATTAAAGTCTACATAACTGAATATAAAATGTTTATTCTCGAAAATTACAAGGAAACTTTGATATGCTCTGAACATTTGACATGATTAAATGCGAACGCTTTGGTCATGCTGCCTCAGCTGTAAAGGTCACACGGCTGATTAGATCCTGGTGTCAGAGCTGCAGGTTTAGTCGACCCACAACTGTTAGCGCTTTGTTTTGGTTTGACAGCTGGCCGCTTGTCAGTCTCAGACCACAAGCATCAACCATTAACAAATGCTGGAGCGGAGCCGCCTTCGGACACAATATATGATATTTGATATCAAAGGCTAATGGCTGCCATTGTGTCAGTCGGTGGTGAGGTTTGGGGCACTCCACAGGCCTGATATGGCTGCTAAAATATTGATGGAGCTTGGCGTTGAACCTGGCTAATTGCTGTTTAATATTTAATTTATTTCACAGATCGACATTCTCAGGTTGTTTATTGTCACTGTGTTTAAATGTGCTGGTGACACCGGTCTGTTGTCCGATCCCAGAGATGCGATCAGAGTTTAGATTCATTCTCTTTCTGGTGTGTGGTTGTTGATCTGCTGAATTGAGGAAGTTTTGGGCTGTATGAGGGGTAGTGTCAGTTTCCTGTGTGACTGACTGAGCAAAGGAGGAAGCCATTTGACGGAAGGGGAGCACTTCCTTTAAGCAACGCTCTTCCCCATCTGGTCGGTGTCGCACACAATAAAAAGAGCTTCTTGGGCTGTTCTGGACCGGACAAACTCCCAGAACCTGACACACCTGACCCAGATTGAACCGATCCAACCCTGTGTTCTCTGTCCACACAGGTGCCGTCTCCTTTGTGGTAAGATCGCTGAAACTTGTACAACACATACCCCTTATGTTGATACAAGCGAAGGATATTCAACTAAATCTATATATTTCTCCTATTTACTTTCTGAAACTCAAATCCCCTCTGACAACATTTTAAAATGTTTAGCAGAAATGTAAAGAAACTCTATTTCTGTTCTGTCTGCACTGCAAAACACCAAGTAACTTTGGTCTAGTTTCTAGTGGAAATACCTCAGTTGACTTGAAATAAGACAGAACTAGCTTACAAGTAACTTTTCAACAAGATGTAGAAGTTTGTTTGAAGTCAGTAATTCCTTAATTTTGATGAAAAAGTGCTTGTTCCATTTGCAGATAATTTCATTCATAACATGGGAAAAATGGCAGATTATAAGTGAAATAATCTACCAGTGGAACAAATACCTTTTTATTTACAGCTCTGGAAAAAAATAAGACACCACTGACAATAATCAGCTTGTTTGATTTTAATTTCTATAGATTAAATTGAACATTGTTCTTTTATTCTATGAACTACTGACAGCATGTGTCTGAAATTCTAAGCAGATATTTAATATTTATTTGCAGAAAATGAGAAACGGTGAAAATAAAGATGTGGTGCTTTCTGACCTCCAATAATTGATAAAAAAAAAAGTTCATATTCATTTAGAAACAATAATAGTAATGTCTTAACTCAGGAGGGGTTCAGAAAACAATTTTGTTGGAATAACTATTAGGTTTTCAATGGGATTCAGTCCAGTAGGCTCTTAATGTTTTTCAGAACTGTGTATTAACCAATTATTTACTTAAAATAAGCTCCTGTATCTTGCTGAAAAATTACTTCTGAGTCAGTTTTGTCTTATTTCAGGTTAACCAGCAACTAGACCAAGATTTACTGGGTAAGATTTTGTGTTTTTGCAGCATGATGAATGTTTAAGCAGCTGAAATAATGTGAAGCAGCAGGTGGCCCATGTGTCCTGCACCTGTTCTTGTGCTTCCGGAGATTTCGTTCCTGCCAGATTTCACACAAACCCACCCAGAGTCCATTCAGCAGGAAACCGACTGCCACGTCAAACAGCTGCATGACTGGATCTTCTGTCCAGACTTCAGAGTTAAAGAGCTACGATACAGCTCTTGCCCTCCGCTATGAAACACCAAATGTTTTGGTTTTGTATAGAGACTCGGTGGTGTTTTATCACTTAGAATCTTGAGGGGAATTGTTGGCAGGAAATAAGATACAATCTTTGTTATTTTTTTGCCTTCTTTTCCTGCAGTCGCTTTCCTGCTCCTCAGACTGTCCTCTGTGTGCCTCTGAGTTTGTCATGAGGAGTCATGAGACTGATAAATGAGCGTTGACTCTGTCTACTTCTTTGTTCCTCAGAGTCTCTCATGCTAACCGAGTATGGATGATACACAGGACGGGGTTCAGATCGGAGAGAAAAAGTTCATCAGCAAGTAAGGTTTCATTTCAACACTTTCTCTCATGTTCAAGTAAATAATGAACACACATGCTCTCTGATTATTAGTCTTCTCTTTTGTAACTTTTTGGAAAATCTGTGTTTGAAACATCAGCTTAACATGAGGAGTTAAGTTCTAATTTATGGAGTAAGTCTGATGAGCAGTGGTGCTTTCAGAAGCTAATTTATTTATAAAGTTGAACTCGAAATGCCAATACAGGGCTGAACAAGAAGCCCAGCAGCACTAGAAAAGTTTCATATCTTCATGTAATACTGCTTTATTATCTTAAAGAAAAGAATCCAATAAGCCTTTAATTAAATTGTGGCTGCACAGTAAGTCTGTTTAAGCTCATCTGTATTGTTTGGTGTTTTCTTGGCTCGAGCTAAAATAGACTTTTCCTCTCAGTGATTTAGTTTTTATGTCTTCAGGTCAGCAATCCTCTCGTATCTGAAAACATACAACCTTTATTATGAGGGACAGAATCTCCAGCTGCGACACAGAGAGGTGAGTAATTGCAGCCGTTTCTTACTTTTATATTTAACTTTGAACAGAACATTCCCAGCAGCCCCACTCTTTGTAGCTCTTAACCTTTTCACTTTTGATTGCAGTCTTTCAACGTAACGCTCCAGACTCATTAAATCGCCTGCCCCGATGGCCTAATAACTGTCTGCTGGAAGAGTGTTGACCTTGATTAGTGTCTGTGTCTCCAAACAGGAAGAAGAGGAGCTGATCATCGAAGGGTTGCTGAATATCTTTTGGGGCCTTCGGCGGCCAATCAGACTTCAGATGCAGGATGACCACGAGCGAATTCGACCGCCGCCGTCCTCCACGTCCTGGCACTCAGGCTGCAACCTGGACAGCCAAGGGCAAGTGAAACCAGACAGATCCAGTCATACGCAAGGACCGGAAATGATAATGAGGGCAGTTACAGATTATGGATCTCTGTTGAGAATGGCTCATTAAATCTATAATTAAACAGAATCTAAACACAAAGAACCTTTAATCTTTGGTTTCTCAACACGCATCAACAGATATGTTTAAGTAAATTCTTAATTATTTTTGCTTTAAAGCTATACAAATAATTAAGATATGGAAATATTACAGAAAAGGTTATTTTAATTTATTAGTTATTTGTTTTAAAAAATTGAAGTTCACACATAATTTACATTTTTAAAACAGAGTGATTCTAATGTAACAAAACCTGAATATTTTAAATAGTATTAATACAATACTGTTAGTATTTCAAACATTTATTTCTGTTAATTTTGATGATTTTGTCTTACAGAAATTCTCCGTTAACTTTAATAAATTGTTACATAACACAAATAAAAAATAAAATCTACCTTTATGTTTCTTTTGACATTAAACATATTATGGAAAGAAAAGTGTGCTGATATTTCTGATTGTTTTGAGTGAAAATATCTTCCAGACCGTTCACCTTTCTGTCTTTAATAAACTGAGAACCAAAGAGCCTGTTTCGCTCTGAATTAGAAATGTGTTATTTAATTATTTTCATACTTGCTATGTTTACAGTTTTGTGATTTTTCAGCTCTTACCTTTTCTGAAACTTTGTTCTTTCTCGTTTTTACATCTGCAGTTCTCCCAACAACACAGATGGTCAGCAGACCTCAGAACAAAATCCACCCACTGTGGAAGTGACGCCACCTGACAGTAAACAGGAAGACAACACAGAGACAGATGAAGGTCAGCGGCTCTATCAGCTAATAAACATTATCAGTCAGTTTGGCATCATTTTTACAAGAAGATTTGTTTATGCTTTGGTTCATGTCATTTTAAATAGATCCAATTAACAAATCTTTTTAAAATGTGTTTCATCAGACATTTTTCACAGATTTTCTTTCCTAACATGACCAAGAAATCAGACCAGCAACTGTGGCACATTTGTCTCTTTGTAAAAGTCATTAGAAAGTTTCTTTCCTTTTATACAATTTAATTTGAAAAATTATTTTCTCAGAGATTATAATCATAAGATTCAAGTTTAACAATCCATTAAAAATGTTTTCTCTCTTATCAACATGTGAATGACCAGTAGGGAAATTAATTTATTATAGTAGCACAGTAACAAAATATAACCTATTATATAAAAAATGTCTGAAAAACAATAGAAACTGTATATAAAAACTACCTACAGATACAATAAAATCAAGTAGAACCTAAAAACCAGGTAGATTTTTAAATACAGAATGTTCTTTACTCCTAAACCTAAAAAGCACCTGTGATTTATTGCATGTGATGTAATAATAATTAGTGATCTAACAACTTATTTATTCTGTGTTGTTCTTCAGAGGACAGTGAGAGCTCCGCTCAGCTTCTCCGGACGAAAAGCGATGCTGGCTTTTTAAGACGTGGCCAGCGGCGGTCTCCAAGCGACCAGAGGAAAATCCGACGCCATCGATTCTCCATCAATGGACACTTTTACAACCATAAGGTGCTTTTCTATGAGAACCTCCAATAATTTAGAATCAAAAATATAATTCACAAATGTAAACCGTCATTGTTTAATGCTTCTGGTTTCAGACAGCCGTGTTTACGCCTGCGTATGGGTCAGTTACTAATGTCAGGATCAACAGCTGCATGACCACACCGCAGGTGCTTCGGGTTCTCCTCAACAAGTTTAAAATCGAAAACAGCCCAGATGATTTCGCTCTCTATCTCGTCCATGCAAGTGGAGGTAAGTGAGCTGTTTGGAAATGAAGAGTGAGCACTGAGTTAATCGGGATGAACTTTCTCCATCTGTCCTGCTCCTTTCTTGAAGTCAAGCATTTCTATAAATGTTTATCTTCAACTCAGTCAGAGTTTAAATGGCTGCAGCCTCTCTTTCTGCAGGGGAAGTAGTTTTATTTTATTTGCTGTAGAAGTTCAGAGTTACCCTGCAGGAAACAGCTACACTGACTTTTCTTGTTGCGATTTGTCATCTGGATAACAGGATGGATTGTTTACACACAGCATGTCCAGCAGCAGGAAAGAGCCGCTGTGTTTTTGTTTTTTATTGCCTCCATGGTAACATCTGGCAGCAAGTGGTAGATTTACGGTTTGAACTGCTTGGCTCTACTTAATGGTTTGCAGCCTGGTAAAAAGAGATTACAGAAACAGGAGTTACCCTGATTCTTTGACAGCACCCCCTGCTGTTTGGGTTTCAGTAGATGTAACAGGGGCTGTTTGATGGAAGGCAGCAATTTAGTGAAATCAGATTTGTTTCTTTATTTTTAAGTCTTATGTGACAACAGATACATAAGTCGTTCTTAAATCACCTTGAATGAAAGAGCAGCAGAGAACAGATTGGATTATTCTGCTACCTGTTTGTCTGCAGGGATGCAGTAAGATCTGTTCACAAATTATAAACAGATATTTCACATAAAATCACACATAAAATATCTAGTTATTGACAAAGTCATCAAATTTGTCTTAAAGGAAAAACATAATGCTGCTTATTTTGAGTCGCTGGATCAGAGCTCTCTTAAATACGGTTTCTTTTCTATTCCAAAGTGATTGGCTGAAAAGTTGTACCTAATTAAGTGGCCAATGAGAGAATATGATGAATTAATTTGGCTAATTGGCCCATTTATGGCCTGTTGGTGTTTCAGAGCGAGTGAAGCTGAAACGGACTGATTTTCCTCTGGTGCTGAGAGTCATTCAGGGTCCATGTGAGCAGGTCTGCAAGGTCTTCCTCATGGAAGAAGATTTGGGTGAAGAAGTCACATATGATGTAAGTCACAACAACTTCCTGACATGACACCCCCAGCTACAATCACACACCTTACTTTGATATGAGGGCTGCCGATTATACTGACAATTAATGGATTAATCGAATAACAAATTGGCAGATTCAGCAGATTTTTCATTTAACTCTTAAGTTTATTTTATACAATATTAGAAATCCATAAAAATATAGGTAAACAAATAAGTAAACTCAGTTATTAAATAATAAAATAAATATTTTATTACCTAAAATTAAATAATGCATTATTCCATTTATGAATGGTTGAACTTTTATAACTAAAACAATACTTCCAACATCAAAATATGTAAAGCTCAGAGCCTTCTTCTTGTCTTACCATCAATATAATGTTTGGCTGACCTGTTGATAATTTCTTGGATTAATTGATTAAAAATTATACAGCAAAAGTTGCTCAGTAGGAAAGAATTTGAACCTCAGGAAGCTAAAACTTTGGCATTTGAGGAGTTCTGGGTAGAATATTTTTATAGACAAGTTAAATTTAGAAAATCTATATATTTTTGTATAATTTTCTGATTGTTGTTCTTTCAACAAATATCCTCTTTTAGAGTCTGAGTACTCCAATTAGCCATTAATCAATTACTAAATTAGTTGACAAACATTTAAATTAGCATGATTAAACAGCTCTGCCTTAATTGCCACAATGGGGATCTTGAGTTTTATTGGTGACGTTCTCTCTCTTTCCACCAGGTGGCGCAGTATATCAAGTTTGAGATGCCTGTTCTTCAGAGTTTCATCACCAAGTTGAAGGAAGAAGAAGACAGAGAGGTGCAGAAGCTCAGAAGAAGGTACCATAAACGCTACATGTATTCTAAACATTTGCAAAATCCAAAGTCATACATATTCCTTATTTACATGACCTTTGACCCCCTGCTTTCACCCCACTTACAGGTATAATTATATGCGGTGTATAATAGAAAAGCAGCTTCGTGGTCTTCCAGAAGGAGCGAAGTGTATTTAACCTAATGAAGGTGAGGATTTCCTCCAGCACAAACTGTTAGGAACTGTTTACATCCGCCGCCAACAGAGAGAGAGAGAGAGAGAAAGTGTCGATCAGGCAAGAACTTCTCCTTTCTAATTCCTCCAGTTTTCTCTTCTGTTGTCTTCCTGTTCGCCATCACATACACGGCTCGAGTGATTTTACCTTTTTTATCTGTATTATTGTTTTATAAGCTTCCTGAGCCTAAAATAAGAGGCCACATCCTCTGTTATTCTAATCAAGTACAGTTGTAATGGGACATAATTATAGTAAAGTGCCTATTTTAACCTCGTCCAAGCACAAAATGCTTACGAGTGATCAAAAAGAGCCGGAGCTAATCACACTGACTGAAAGCACATGGTTTTAAGATCCAAGCGCTGATGCCAATGTTTGCATTTACATTCCTTCCTGATCTGGGCGAGTCTGAGAACTGAATTTATATTAGTAGATAAAATTTTCAGAGCTCAGATTATGCTGTCATTAGCTGTTCTGTAAACTGAATGTTATGTTTGTTTTGATACAGACAAAAAAATGACTGCATGTTGTAATATTTATGTTTAATGTTTGGTTTTCACAATTTTTATGTTGCATCTAATAACTGAAGATTTTTCACTGAGATCTCATGTGATAGAGCAGCATAAAGTCGGGCTTTGTTGTAAAGTGGAACAAAAATGTTATTTAACTTTTAAGTTTAGTTTTTAACATCTGAATAGTGTTTTTAGTCAATACTTTTTAGAACTGTCTAAAAGGGGGCCGATGTCCCAAAGGCAACTGCAGCTTTGAATGCAGATGGTGGCTTTTCTTTTAATATTCGAGAAAAACGTCTCTGAAAAATGAAAATGCTATTTTAACCAGAAAACATGCATCTTATTAAACATAAATTCTTGCAAGGTATTTTTGTCTAGTTTCTAGTGCAAATATCTTAGTACACTTGGAATAAGACAAATCAAGTAACTTTTCAGCAAGAATTAGGAGCTTGTTTTAAGTCAATAATAATTCCTTAATATTGATTTTTTTCTTTTAAAGTATTAGTTCCATCGGTATATCATTTTATTTATAACAAGACATTTTTCCCAAGTTCAGTCTTCTGTGTTTCTTGGTCTTCATAACGAACACGCACTTTTCAATTTTCTTTGTAAAACATTTTTTAAACATACAATTTTTCTCCACCTTACAGTTCATTTTTATGTTGGTCTATGACATAAAATCCCTGTAAAAATTCACTGAAGTTTTAAGGTGCCAACAGAACAAACTGTAGAAAAGTTTTGTGGGTGTGAATACTTTTGCAAAACACAAGTACATTTTAACCAGCAGCTGCCAAGATTGTAAACCAGTTGACCTGACATTTACGTCCAAAACTAAAATCACTTTATGAAGCTGATTTACACTTTGAACTTCTTTCAAAGGGAAAACCATCCGGTTTTACAGATTTTATGTTATTTGCCTTCTTCTAAAAATTTTGCTCATTTTATTTACGCTTTGATTTTTGTCAGTATTTTAAAAAAACAGAATAATTGTGCTAATTAGTGAATTTTTATCAACAGAGTTTGACAGACTATTACAATTCTTGTCATTTGTATCATGATTTAAATAAGGGCCAATGGTGACAGTTTGTGGGAATTTTTTTATGTTCAGCAAAAGATTTAGTCGAAAAAGCACAACAAAAAAATTAAAGCTGTGAATTACATATGTCTGAAATGTTTTAAATGAGCGTCGAAAGCAGCAACGTCTGACTCCAAATGAGTAGCACTTTGCGTAAGTTTGTCGCGTCTTTAACATTTTTCCGCAGACGGCACCCTACAGAGTTTCTATGTGACTGAAAGCGCGCATGTTTATATTTTCAGTGATTTCTTTGTATTGTCTTTTACAAAACATACAGTCGACTTTCAAGGCTTGTAAATGTGAAAACGTCATTCTACCCCTTCAAAAATTAGGGTATTTTTTGTTTTGTTTTACAGTGATATTATTTAATAAAAATCTGTCTTTGGAGAATTTGTTCATATTGTGTAATTTTTTTGTACAAGTTAATAATAATAATGTCATTTATTGTTTTGCTTCTTGGTACAATTAAATGTTTCAGATCATCTAGTTTGAATCACATTTGTCAAAATTATGTAGTAAGTTTTTTTTTTATTTAAAAACTTCTAAATCTGCTCAATAATAAACTATATATTGAATATTTTAGTCGTTTTGAGGGCACTGGATTATTGAAATTGTTGTAGATTCAAAACATAAAAAGGGTTTTGAGGAAACAGTAAAATTTACAAACCTTTTAAAGATTCCTCTGATTTTTGTTTTTCTGTCTATTCTCAGAGACAAGAACAGGATTTGAAAATGCTTGCTACGATTAGCCAGGATTAATAAATTAATTTAGCTCTACTTTTGAGAAAAAGTTGAAGAAATCATTAAGAGGTCAGATAGATTTTTAGACCAGAGTACATTATCATTACGTAATTATTAGAAAAGATAGAAACCAATTCAGCGTGGAAGCTTCAGGAGAGCTGAGTCTGTTTCCAGTTTCTTCTCTAAGAGGTTTATTCATTTAGACCGAATTAGAAACAAACTTTGCCTCAGTTGCTCTTGAAGGTATATAAGAGGGACGTCGTTGGTCCAGCAGCTTACCGCTCACTCGGCCAATGAGCATCAGCGACACCGGTCCACCTGACGAAGATCATTAGGAGGATAACAAACTGGCCGTGATTCATACTTTCCTTCAGACGGTCAGAGGAGCGTCAGTCAGGTGAAAGTCTCCAGAAACAAAGAGCGACGTCTAAACCGAGTTTTTACCACAACTAACAGGTGAGTTGAAATATTACTCATCCAACCTAATTTACTTCTACATGTAAGCAGTTATGAAAATATAGAATTAAAACAACTTCCCCTATTGTAATTTCTTACATTTTTGCATTATTCATCATTGTGAGACAAAGAAATTTCTTACAACCGTCATTGATGCTGCACACAATTTGATTTATCTTCATCAATGTATGTAAATCATCGATGTAAATTCCAGTATCTTTAATCTCAGTCAGGATTATTCCTGAAGTAAGTGACCCAATATTTATAGCTCAAACATATCATAAACAACAGATTAAAGATGCATTTCATTTATTTATTAAGATAAAACTTAATATGTATGATATAAAAGTAGAAGCAGTCAGAATACGCAAAAAAGTGCAAATATTTCAGTTTTATTAGCCCTAAAATACTATTTATTGATTAAATTAAGTTATATTGCATGATATAACTCCTGTTTATCCTACTTAAAGGTATAAATATATTCTATTTGTGTGGTGTAGCAGTAATATTAGATTCTTCTCCACAAATATTTACTTTGTCTGTTAATTTTCTCTTTAATTTGGTCTGTCACATTTTTTTATTTGCATGCATTCATCCAAATTACTGTTTAAGCAGTTTATCCTTATGCTCAGTATGAATACTCTAAAAGTAGCTGTGGTATCTGCTCAGTGACGTCTCATATAGTTGTTTACCGGGCCAGTGGCCTCATCCAAAGACGGACTTAATCTGCCAGATCCAAATTAAGAGGACACAGAGATTATGATCTCACGTTAGCTCCATTGTCGTCTTGTGCTGCACTGCTTATGTAAGACATGTTTGTCAAAGCGGGATTAAAAGTGTTCCTCTTTAGGTCTTCAAAGGTCCAAACTAATGGTGCACGTATTATTTTTCGTGGTTGTATAAGAACGATTTGTGCAAGAAAACCCTGCCAGACATGTGCTATAGTTATAATGTTATTTATTAGTATGATTCAATATGAAGAGTCATCTTAATTTGATCAAATTATACATACAAAAGTTTCTAAATTCAAAATAAAGTGCTTCAGATTTTTTATCTAATGTTAAATGTACATTTAGGAATTCAGGAAGCTTTTGTTTCTTAAAGATTACTTTTTTTAGTTACATTGTGTCATTATTTGTGAAGAGGTTGAGAATAAATGCCTAAAAGAACTCCTAAAGGTTGCATTTTAATTACCTTTACATTATTTTAAAATAAATCCTTTAAACCAGAAACAATAAATACATTTTATCAGTGATAGTGTCTTTAACAGGCAATCTGGTATTTCCAGTCAGGGACAAGCACCAACAGACACTAGGTGGCGCTACAGCATCCTTCCTTTTGACCTCTGGATGAAAAAATTGTCCCTCTGAAACTTTTACTCCTTTTTTACAGTGGATATCATATGGCCCAAGATGTAATTTATGGATTTATAACAAAGCTTGTATTATTAGTGCTGTACATTTTGTTATTTTGCCAAAACATCAGGACCGTGTCGAGATTTTTTTTCCATATTGGGGCCAGACAGCAGCTGGTGGCACACTAAAACTACAATATCATCTAAATATTTACCCAAATAAACACATGGATCTATTGAGCAGATGAAAACTATTCAGCTGACCAAAGGACCTGGACCTCAGCTTGGGTTACTTGGCTCATTTTCCAGAGACCAGAAAACACTAACTTATTGCCAAAACAGCTGGCCAGTGTATTTTACATACTTGGACTGATTTTAGAAGCAATAGAGGCCCAAATGGAAGTATAAATTTTCCTTTAAAGCTTGTTTTGTCTTTAGGTTATGATGACTTGCTGAAGCCATGGAGCGCAGGATTGTGCACATGATTGATTTTTTGTTTTCCTCCTTTCTTGTTATTTACGCAGCTGACAGACCGAGATGAACCCGCAGAAGCTCCCCGTCACCATGTGCCTCTGTCTGCTGCTGCTTTGCACCCTGCTGCCCAGCTGTGAGGCGCGTCGCGGTCGCGGAGGTGGTGGATTCGGTCGGGGCGTAGGAGGGGGAGTCGGTGGCGGCGGCTTCAGCCGTGGATGGGGCGGTCAGTCCTACAGACCCGCACCTGTCCAAGTCCAGAGAAGTGGTCCGAGTGCGGGGAAAGTAGCCGGAGCGGCAGCTGCAGGGGCAATAGGAGGAGCGATGATTGGGTCAGCCCTGAGCCGACCCGGGTATGGATACGGGTACGGGGGGTACGGAGGTTATGGAGGATATGGCGGTTATGGTGGCTATGGGGGTTATGGACCAGGGTATGGCGGTTACCGTCCAAGGCCCGGCTATGAGCCTGAGGGTTCTGGAGACATGGAGTACTACGCTGCAGCGTCCAGTGGGCCCATCTACAACAGCATAGTGGTTGTGATTGGCTTTATAACCTCCCTGATGCTGGGAAACTGGGTGGCTGTCATGTAGACCTGGAGGCCGAGCTGAGATCCAAAACAAAACTAAATCAATAAATTCATCCTGAGAGCAAAGAGGAACGTCTTCAAAATTCATCTCCAGCCCTTGAAGATCGTCATCAGAGTTCCTGAGAAAGGAGGAAGTCCTAACATGACGTCATCCATCAGAATGAGAGAGAAATCCTCTTCAGCATCTCTGAACCCATTTTATTTGTGAACTGTTGCCACTGCATCACACTTTAGCTGCGTTTCCATTGATTATATACAATTGGTTCTCCGATTAAAATAACAGGATATTGCGACTGGCGAAAACCACAAAGAAGACAACAGGAAGTAGATAAAGGATGATGGCGCAGGTGTTTATTAATGATTTATGAACAAAATTATTCACATGTGATTTAAATTAGTTCTTATTTAATGGAAACATCTCAATTGTGAAATTGTGATTTTCAACATTAGTGAAATATTGACTCATATTTGTAATGGAAACGCACCTTCTGTCCTCCTTGAATGTGGTCAGATGAGCTCAGGTTCGACCTACCTCATAACATCGTGATGGGAGAGCATTTAAAAGCAGCTACACTTTATATCATTGGTTAATGTACATCTTAAATTATTCATAGTTGTGATTCAGTTGATTCATCTGCATAAAGTTAATATTTTGAGTATTTGGCTTAATTACTAAATTAATATGAGTATTTACTTTGCTCAGTTAAAGTACTAATCAATAATTTAAGGACTCATTCTCATTCATCTTGAATGTTAGTGTCCTACTTTTGCAGATTTATGTGTATATGTATTTATTTGTAAATGTCTGCATGTATTTTCTTGTTTCGCTGTATACCATTAATAAAAAAATACAGAAAATTGTTCTGATCTTTATTCTTTCACACAGCAAAAAGTACGCTTTTTTTGTAAAAAAAAAAAAAGTACGCTAATTTTGTTCCACCCCAATTCAAATATTTTACATAGAAACGTTGACCAAATTGGTCCAAAGGCCTTTTATGATCCTTGAAATTTTGTTTAACCCACGTAAATAATAGTAAAAATTTAGTCAACAAATTGGAAAATAACTGATTACCCAAAACATTTGAAATTGTTTTACAGGTTTTATTTATTTTTTAGTGTGTTTATTGTTGAGCAGATAAAACAACAGCTGCCCATTAATAATCATTATACCGTTAAGAATTTAATTTCAGTAATTCTTTTTTTTTTTTTAAGATGTCTTTGATAAGACTACAGACATTAGAAATTGCTATAATTATTTTAGGAGCTTTTGAACATATTTTAAATTCTTAAAACCGAAACAATCATGCAGTTAATTCATGCGTTGCTCTGGAATTTATTCACCTTTCCACCTTTGTACATTTAAGTTATATTTAAATACATAGAAAATCAAAGACAAATTGTCACCATGCAGATAACAAATCGGGGAATCACTAAAAGTTGAGTTTATTAGAGAAGACAAACACTGACAGCAGGACATTTTATCAGCGGAGTAAGAAAATGTTTACATTAAATGTTTCTGTGTGGCAGCGCCCTCCAGTGGCCACAGGATATGGCCTGATGTGTTAAAGAGAGTCTGAATTTACTCCTTTGAAACTGAAATTATGGCTTTCGCTGCATTGTTTTTATCATAGCATTGACAACAAATACATTTACCAAACCATTTAAAATCAGCACAGACATAAAATGTTTACATTTCTGACACTTCGCACAAAACAAACATTTGGTCATGAATGAAGATGCATTCACATTCAAAACAATGAGCAAAAGGTACATTCTTATTATTAGTTTCATTGGATTTTGTTTTTTCCAACAAGTTATGTAAAAAACAGAAAACAAGCTGATATTAAGGCTTATTTCCTGTTACTGAATAAATTGAGATGATCAGTTTCAATAATGATAAAAAACATTCAGACTTAAATTTTTTAAAAAAAGCCCAATAAACCACCAATCACAGGTTATTGTTGCCATGTTGGACACTACAAGATGTAAACAGGTGATAATCAGAAACGTATTAAAACTAATTCTCCTTGATAAAGACATTTTTGTAATGATCTGAAGCAAATCCTGATATATAAAACCCTGAAAGTCATAGGCAGCTACATTTAAAAACTCTCAAAATACTAAACTGATATGGTGAATTTTGCCCTGAATCAATTTAGGTTTACAAAAATAAAAAACAAAGTACAAATTGTTTTCATTATCCAAAGAGAAAGACAACATGGGTATTTTAATGGTGCAAGACATTTATAACTATTTCAGCCTTGGTCCCAAAATGAAGCAACTTTTAAATAAAACTTTACAGTCAATTGTTAAAACCAAATTAAAAAGCTGTGAAAGAATATATTGTTTTTGTAATATATTCTATTCTATAATTTATTATTTAACAGAATATAACAGCTATGGTGTATTTGAATCTTCTTTGTGAGCCATAATTCACTATGGATTTTTCTCTTAAAGCTAAAACTTTGCACATTTACTTCATAATCAGATTCATCTATAGCAAGCAGTAGGTTCCCAAATTGGGAAGATTCAGGAAGCTCTAACCCAGAGGTGTCCAAATTGTGGCTCAGGGTCAATTGTGGTCCTGGACTGATTGTGTGTGGCTCATAAATTCAAGTGAAGAATGACACAAATTTGACCACTGGTTAAATATAGCAAGCTTTTTCATAGAGGGACACTCTAATCAAAGTCTAGGTAGTTTGACTACTAAGTCCGGTTGGTGTGAGTTGGTGTGAACGCACAATCAAACTCTGACGGGGAAGACTCTAGTCTGCCTACAAACCTCGGCCTTGGTTCAGTAGAAGTGAACTCTAGCACGGTTCACCAAGCAGACTGGAGACAGTTCCAAAAGCAGGAAACAAACTACAGCACAGTGCATTCTGGGAAAATAAAACCTAAATAAATACACAACTCTAGTGATAGTGGGAAAAATAGCTTGTGGGCTTTTACCAAAGACAAAAGAAAAACCCAACAACAACTTCATTTTTGTTTCTGTTTTGTAAAGAAGGAAGTTGCACTCATGTCTTCTTCAGAGGTTTTTCATGTTGTCCCCTTCAGTAGTTCTTGGTGCAGCGCCACCTCAGGCGAGGCGGCAAACAGGTTTGTCAAACGGTTTACTTACTTAGACACAGAGCAGATGAAAGTGTAACAAATGTTGCAATTTTGGTCACCAATCAAATCGAGTCTCTTGGACCATAAGGTGTGAAAACACTCTTATTCACAAGAAAGACAGATTTGGCAGTTTGGTCAGGAAACTCTGGGCAGTCAAAGAAACAAAGGGATCACCAGTCATCAAGCTCTGAGTGGCATTCTGTAGAGCGTCTACATAGGCTTGTTACTCCATAAAGACACAGCAGAAAGAATATTACTATATAAAAGAAGTTGAAATAAATATCTATGCATTGGTAACATTATCATACCATGAGAGTCTCATGGTGTTTCATGCTTTGTCGGTTAAAAAGTGACGAAAGCCTATATTACTGCAAAAGCACAACATTTTACCAAGTAATTTTGCATGGTTTCTAGTGCAAATATAGAAAATTTGAAACAAGACTAAATTTACTTGCGGGTGGGTAACTCTTCAGCAAGATATAGGGGCTTGCTTTAAGTCAATGTTCCTTAATACAGATTTAAAAAAATTACTATTTCAACTGGTAGATTATTTTACTAACACATTTCTTCCCATAGTAAACACAAATACTTGGTAAGATTGTTTTTGCAATAAAAAGAAAGCTTTTTTCTTCACCATGCTTTAATATTCTTCCAGGTAGAGAGGAGGATGGCAAAATCTCAGCTGATGTACCCTGCAATCAGTGTCAGTGCAGGAACATCATTATGTTGCTATTAATTATCATCAGTGTCGTAGCAAAGGCTGCAGATAAAACCCCGGGCAGGCCCAACGTCAGCGCCTGAGCTCCTCCGTTCCGTCTCTCTAAGTATTGATCAGAATTTTCCACGTATCGCTCCAAGCATTTCCTGACCTTTAGCTGCTCCATCAGTGCCGGATAGCCAATCTCTACTATGCTGACTGTATCATCATCTTCAGCACTGCTGGGTTCCTGTGACGATGGACTTGAAGGTGTGGTGGTGTTTGTCGTGTTGTTTGTTAAAGGGATGGACTCTCTACTTGGGGTCCTGCTGGTTGGTTTACTTGGTGGCTTTTCACTCTCTGCAGACAGGTCAATTGTCTTCATGCAGTCATCCATGAAGTTGTCGTAGCTTCTTGTAGGAGTATTAAAGCGATAATCTCTGCTGTAGTCGTTGGCGTCAGTTGAACGGGTACCATATTTCCTGTACATGTAGTAGTTGTAGTAGTGCTCTTGTTGGGGGTTGTGAAAATTAAAATCGGGCCGGGGGAACCTTCCCAATCCGTAACCCAGGGCCATCCCCGCCACAGCTCCTCCACCAGCTGCTATCATTGCTGAGCGCCCAAACCCTCTGGAGTTGCTGTTAGGGAAGAAACCCATGCCCTGGACTGACTGGGAAAATGGAGAGCCACCCCTGGAGCCATACCCTCCATAGCCAAAGCTGCCACCATAACGAGGGCTTAAGATTTTATTTTTTGGGTTGGCATTGATGTATCCACCTGGGTACCCTCTGTTGCTATATGGTGATCCCATTCCCGCATAAGGGTTGTAGTAGCCTCCACCCTGCTGCCTGGGGTAACCACCTGGGTATCCTCCCTGGTTGCTTTGTTTTGGCTGTTTTGGCTGTCCACCCTGAGGATTGGAGCCCTGATTGCTTTTGTACCATGTGTTGCTGTTAGTGCCACTTCGGCTGGATGTGGACGACTTTCTTCCACCAAAGCCCTTCCCTGAGCTTCTACCTCCTTTGGCCAATAGGAAAGGAAAGTGAAACAAAAGAAGGCACAGTAGAGAAGACTTAAGCTGCATCTTCACACTACAGAAAAAGGAAATACAAGCAAATATGTGAAAAAATTATTTAGAGAGTATGAAAAATGCATCACAAGTTGTTTATATTACAGATACGCAGAGAAAGGCATTGTGGATCAGAATAAGTATATATTTCTGATTAAATCTAGTGAATTTTTTTATTGTTTTAATTTGGTCTGAGGCTTTAGAAAACAAAACAAATGTTATAAAGTGGGGTTTTCTGTGACAAACAGGCTAACCTCACAATTTCAGCCGCTCAATATCTGGGTGCAGAGGCTGCTTATAAGCCACTAATGGCTCAACAAGAACATAAAATGAGCAGAGTGCTGATCTAATGGAGTTGATGTTCTTCCCTCTCCTACTCCATCGTTCTGCTTTTGTCTGACTGCTGGGCTTTACAATCCATTAGCAAGGGCAGGAAACCCAAAAGGGAAGTCAGAAAGATCAAGACATAAAAAGTAAGCATGTATTTTTTTCAGTGTTCTCATTGAAAACAACATTATAATCCAACTATCCATTTGTGTATACATCTTTAATCCATGCTGGATTAAAATGGAGTTCTTGTAGTCAATGGACAAAAGTGCAGACTCAATATATTTCAAGTAAATATTGTATTATAATTGTAGATTTTTCCTCAAACTGACAATGTGTTGACCTCAATAATGTAGAAAACCTGCAGCATGAGATGAAAGGGCCTCAGATACTATACTCTGTGATTATGCAAAGAGGAATAATACAAAATCTCTTTTGCTTTATTTTCCAACCTTCTCCCAAGAGAAGACAGACTGCAGTCTCACTACAAAAAGTGGAGGGCACAAAGCATCAACAGTACCAATAATAGGCCCCAATAATAGTGGCACGAGTGGGTATAGTTTCTTTTCAACTTTTTTTTTGCCATAATTGATTAAATTTACTCAAATTACATGTTAGTTTTTCTCAGTTGCAGAAGTGGAATAATACACCAGTAATAAAATCGATATAACTGCTGTTATTTACGTGGTATTTAATTACTTTAATACTTGCTTAATTTTACTTCCTCTTTAGTCAATAAAGCATTAGGCTATATGAAATTTGATACAGAATTGAGACATCTGCCCCTCCCTCTGCAGTTTCACTGTTTGCTTTTAAAGAGTTTTATTTACATTTTATTTAAAAGTGCTATATTGGTAATTATATACAACCTTCATATGAAAAAGCTGTCATTACAGCAACCAAACCCTATCTGTTAAGCAGCTTTTTGCATGGTTCCATTGTAATTTTGACAATTACGTTAGGGTTTGACTGAGTCACTTCAAAACATTTATATTACTTTGAGTCAAACTTAAAATTAAAGAAGCATTTTTAGTATTAAAGAAGTATCTGCTCATTTTATCCAGAACTAAGCTTGTTGTTTATGATATTGTGATTTGTGCATTTGTATTTTGTATTGTGTACTTTCTAAAGAAAGGAAGAAAGATAAGGTGTGGAGAAAATGTGTTTCTTTTTGTGGATGATTAAAAGTCTTTATTGCTTAATATAAGTCAAAGTTAAGATTTCCACTCTGCAAAAGAGCAACAATGTTTCATTTCGGTGTAATTTTTCCGTCTTAAAAAGCAAAAGTAAAAAAAACCTACTATTTTGATTTTCTCCATGGTTTTTAATAAGAAGATTAATTTACCTAAACATACAGTGACGCAGGTCCAGTCAGGTCTTTTTGCATCATCTACTGCAAGCCAAAGGGTCATTTATTATAAAATTATACACAGATATCAAATAAAGCTTCTTCTGGCATGGCCGTTTCTACTGATTTTATAAAAACTCGTCTATTTTCCATTAAGATGGCGCACACACGCAACATTTAATTCACAAACGAGGAAGTCAGCAGCAGCTGATCAGTAAAGTCCATGTCAGCGTATGTAAACCGTAAACAGCTCTGATTCGGGGGGGAAAGTGCGGCTTGTTTTCCAGAAGATACTCCAGAAGTTCAACCGTAACGTTACCTGAATGCCGGTGGCGCCTCGGTTTTCCTCTTCTCGCCTTATTTTCCGCTCAGAAAGCCTCCCGCCGCCCGGTCACCTCCTCTGAACAGCGAGTCGGTCTCGAGAGACGTTTGCCGCTGACGTAATGCCTCGCGCACCGGAGATGTAGGTTGCCTGGATACAAGATGTGGGAGGGGCTTAGCCTTATTTGTTTTCCATCATCCAGAGCCATGAAAAGATGACGGGGCGTATAGCAGGCCGCTTTAACATAAATATTGTTTCACCGCCCTTACATTCAGATATGTGAAACTGGTTTGTGATTAGACATAACTAATCTAACATATCTCTAATTATAGTTTGACTAGACACAAAACCTATTTCAGACTAGCAGAAATGACGTCAGATTTACCTTTGAGTTGTATGGAGCTTTCAATTCAAGATATCTACAATGAAACACATATCTCAAATATCTAAAAATTCAAGATATGTAATTTTTTGTTTTGATAAGCCATTATTCTGCTTAAAGATATCTTGAATAACACCATATTTCAAGAAATGTACTTTTACACAGGCAATATTTATTTTTAACTTGTGAAAATTAAGTAACGGATATCTTAATAGCAAATAATGACTAAATAAAACTGAAAACCTTTAATTAGACAGATTTTTATACATGATATCTTAAATTAACATTACGACTTGTCAGAATGACATCACAGATATCCTGATTTAATACACTGTTTAGTATACTAAATCTTCACCTTATAGAAGGTGAAGCTTATAAAAGTTTCATCTTTTATAAAACAGGGCTGTCTGGATTGTAAAGCCCATATTAAGATCATTAATGTCTTCAAAAGGCCGGTTGTGCCAGAAAACATTGATAAAATTCATCAACAAACAGGTAAAACCCAGCCGGCCCAAAGCATGAGTTAAACAGCTGCTTAAAGCCCCCGCACCACTAGGGGGCCCCCAAGAGCATCATATTTATTACTTCTTTATTATTTTGTACTTATAAGTTGCATGTTGTCACCATTTTACACATCTGTTTCAGACTTGTTTAGTGTAAAATCAGTGTCTGCAAACTTTACTTCCCAATAGTTAAATACACTTAAATTCAATTTCAATTCAATTAATTAGAGCATCTTTTCTAGTTTGCTACTCCTGAAAAGTAGCAAACATTACATCAAACTTTTCAATATAATGCAAGCTAATGCTAATTAGTCCATAGAAATGATGAAGTATCTAGAGTTGACATATTAGTATGGGGAGGGGGGTCTAATTAAAATTTATTTAATTAAAATTCTTGGACCAGCCCTGTGATAAAATATGAATAAATAACTGTCTCTGCAATCTTCTTCAAATAAATAAAGTGTGACATCTTTTCAAAGTGATGTAATTTGGCTGTATAAAAAGTTAAAATCTACTTTGTTTTGATTGATAAAGAAAATATTTAAGCACACAGGTGTTTTTTTTTTATGCAGTCTGTAGCAGGCCACATCAAAAGCAATGGTGGGCCGGATTTGGCCCCCCAAGTTCAACAAGTTTTAAGTATTTTTTGCAGGGAATTAGATTGAAAATTAAAAGTGAATTTTAGCTTTTAAATATCAGCGGTCTCCAGCTCTAGTGGTCATATGGTTAACTGGTTTAGATTGAGCCCTTCAGCAGAAAGTCATCCAGTTTGGTAGAGTCGTTCAGTGAGTCTGGACGCCAATGTGTTGGAGCAGGGTCACATTTAAAACGTCAACATGGAAAGGAAAATATTGCAAAGATGAGATTTCTCTACAAAGTTCAACAGGTAGTTGCAAAACTGTTGCTGACATTCAGTTAACATGATACTAGTGTCTCTTCAATTCCCATCAATTTCCATTGTAAACGTTGAGATTACAAAACAACACTTGGTTTTCATGAAGTTTTTTCTCAGATCAGCTGTTTCTGAAATGTTCACCTTTTCATCTGGTTTCATGGTTGGTTAATAAAGACCTTGATGAAACTGTAATTTCCTAACTCCTCTGCCTCTTTTGACCTTAAAGTAATGTCTTCTTTGTAAGTGGGAATTAGAAGCAGCTCCGCAGAGTCTCAGTCCTTCTGTTTGCTAATAATTACTCACAATTTTATCATTGATCTTTAGTTAAACTAGACTGACGGGGTTTTGTATGTAATTCCAGTTTTTGACCGCAGGAGGGCAGTAGAGAGAGAAAAAGTTTATGGCAAAAAAATTATAACTTAAACCAGAGCAGGGCGATTTCTGCCGTCTCGTGGTCATGAATGGTAACTACAGCGGCAATTTGGTTTTAAATTGTTTTTAAAGCAGAGCAGAGCAATTTCTTTTTTAAATAGCCTCCATAAAAAAATCACTCTGGCCCCCGTCTACAAATATTTATTTGTATAAATATTTTGGTATTAGTCTTTAAAATTACAGAATTTGCACAGAATTTACTTTTGACTGTCTAATAACTTGTGGATTTAAAATATTAAATCATGGGTTATGAACAGTTACTTATGTACTTGAGTAGATTTTTTTTTAACCAAATACAGACAGATACTTACAGTGCATAAACATTTGAGACTTCATGTATCCTGCTCCTGACAGAAATATGGTTTTGTAATCATATTCCATGAGAGTGGAGGGATATGAGATCCAGAAGATGCATTTTTCCCAGAGGATGAGTGAATTAATGGATCATCACAGGATTATTACTGACAAAGTAAACAATATGAGCGCTGCATTGAGATATTAAGACCTTCTTGCAATTACAATATATCTGAAAATATTCTTAAAAATATTATAACGAGAGTAAAAATGACAAAAAAAGACGACACTATTTTCAAACAAAGTATGTTAATGTTCCCTCTATCATTGCTAACAGACAAAAAAAAATCTAAGGTAAAGAAATTTGTTGATGTTACTCTGTGTATTTCAAGTTTATAAAAAGTAACGTGTTTCAGAGAGGAAAAAAAGTATGCAGATTACACATCACTACAAATGTAACATACTTTAAACCGAGTTGAAGACAACAGACATAAAATGTTTTGAAATGTAGCTTTATTTGAAACAGTAACAATAACTAACTTGTGAATCTACATTTAAAACCTGCATTAAAAAATGCAAAAAGGTTTAAATTTATCCAGAAAAACACCTTAAGCATGCATTGTAATAAGATATTTGACGTGCGTGTGTGAAATATAAGATATAGATTAAGATAAACATGAACAAATATAATCAGTAACACATATTTGCATTCAACTTCTTAATATTACTTAACTTTGCAGTGATTAAAGGTGTATTTAGATTTATAAAATGATAAAATGCAACACTGATTGTTACTGTTCAACACAAATCCTAATATTTACTGTTTTCTGCTGTAATTTTATTTCTGGAACTGCAGTTCAGTCTTTTTGCACAACTTGTCACCACAGCAGAGTGCGGTCAGCAGCACAGTGCAAACTAATCCTGATAACGTGCTCAGAGATCATATTGTTTGAGAGGAAATGTTATTTTTTAAGTTGTTTGGTTCACATACGAGACGTTCTGACCAACGTTCTTTCCCAGCTCGCTGACCAAGAAAAAATGCTGCTGTGCTCAGAGTGAACCACCATTTTTGGTGATTTCTGTTTGGACAAACAAGAGAGCAACACTTGATAAATTTCTTGTTTACCACTTCTGAAAGGATGTTAACATAAGAGTGGGAAGTGAAGTTTTCCCAGATTGCAGCCCTCCTTGTAACAGTTGGAGGACTTGCTAACTTAGAACATTTACACAACAAACTTGAATAATGCTGCCATTTTTTTGTTGGGAGAGATGCTAACAATAATGTTGTTAGCTCTGTTGGAAATGGGGAGGAAATAAAAAAAAACCAGCTAAAACAAATCTTTAGCTAACATGTCTGTTGTGGAGTGTTAGCTGTGGACTGCAGTTGGCAGCTACAGGAAGGAAAATAACCTTCATCTTCCACTAGTCCTAGCTAAAATTAGTCATTCATGATCTCCTTTGTGTTAGGGTTGGTGTTGCAGAGGAGCAGTAGGGATTATTAGCCATAATTAAAGTTCATTGTCATGAGTGTGAAGTGCACAATTCAGAGACTGAGATCTGAACAAAAGTCAGGAAGCCAAATCAATCTTTAATGTGCTTACGGCCAGAGAACAGAAATCCATGGACTGAGGAAAAATGTGCTCTAACAAACTCAGAGTTACACAGTTGCTTTATTCACCTCTCTCTCAGCTAACATAGGCATAGATTTAATCTTCAAGGACCAAACATAGAAAAACAGACTGAAGGAACGGTTCAACTTTGTATGCTCATTCACTGTCATGTCTACGGGATGCGAAAACTAAACACTCTATCTTCGTGCAGGAAAGGCCACAGAAAAAAACAGCAAGTTCCCAGACGACCCGTCTGGGAAACTTTAGCAAACACATCTTATTTAAATAGTTTGCACACCCTCTGCATCTGCACGGAAAAACATCTTGACTATGATACAATAACATTAGAATTATGTGATACAGAAAAAAACGCTGTATGATGCATGAATACAAACATTTTCTCTTTAAAAAAAAATTCACTTCACATGAGCAAAAACAATGAACCATGAAGCCAGACGGTAGAAGTCATGCTGGAATGCAACGTAAAAACCGTTAATTAAACAAATATATACATTTGCTTGTTTCCAGACTTGCATTATCTTTATTTTTCTACTTAATTTTCAGTGGAGGTCTTAATTGTGCAGCATTAACATCATAGTTGTGCTCATGAATACAAAAAGTAGCCCTTGCTGCCCCATCTGCAGGCTTTCTTTCCCACCGTGAGGTGAAGACGGTTCGTTTTTCTTCAAGTGTTTCTCAGAGTAAACGACGAAAAGCTCCGTACATCTTTTCACCTTCATCTGGTTAATCAATGCTGGATAGCCAATTTCCACAATACTGACTGTGTCATCATTTTTCTCATTGTTCTGGACATTTTGTGAAGCCTTCAGATTTGTAACATCAGACTTATTGAGAGGGTTGGTGGTTGAATTGGTGGTGAAGGAGACGTTCCCCGGTGCAGTGATGTTGCTTCTTGTGATAGTAGTTGTGCTAGCTGCAAAGGTTGTTGTTGTTGTTGTGGTTGTTGTTGTGGTGGTGGTCAGTGGTTTGGTTTGTGACCTCTGGTTCTCTCCTGGCAGAAGGTCTGTCCTTTTCATGCAGGAGGTCATGAACTTGTCAAATTCCTCAGGTGGTTGATTGAACTTGTAGTCCCTGCTGTAGTCGTTGCTGTCAGAGGATTTCATACCATATCGCTTGTACATGTAGTAGTTGTAGTAATACTCCTGGTGGGGATTGTGGAAGTGGAAATTGGGATGGGGGAACTTCCCTAATCCGTAGCCCAGGGCCATTCCTGCCATCGCCCCTCCAGCCGCCGCCATTGCCGCACTGCGTCCGAACCCTTTGGATTGATCAGACGGAACAAATCCCATTTTCTGAACCGAGAGAGAGAAGGGAGAACCACCCCCACCTCCGTAACCACCATATCCAAAACTCCCACCGTAATGAGGGCTCAGAATTCTGTTGTTTGGGTTGTGGTTGATGTAGCTACCTGGATAGTTTCCATAACCTCCTACATACCCTGGAGCTGGGAAATGGCCGGCAGGAAACTGTGGGTACTGAGGGTACTGAGGATAGCCTCTTGCTGGATATTGAGGTTGGTTACCTGGGTACTGAGGATAGCCTCTTGCTGGATATTGAGGTTGGTTACCTGGGTACTGAGGATAGCCTCTTGCTGGATATTGAGGTTGGTTACCTGGGTACTGAGGATAGCCTCCTTCTGGTTGCTTAGGGTAACTTCCTGAATTTGAAGTGGGTTTTTTGGCCTTATCCAGGATTGAATGTTTAGTTTTGGCATCCAGATTGGTTTTTATCTTTGTCGTCTTCTTAAAAGGATTTGACAGTCTGATTTTGCCTGCAACTGAGAGATGAATGTGAGCTAAGAGAACGGACAGGCACAGGAAGGCCAAAAGCTTCATCTTTACTCTGCAAACGTTAAAAGAAAAATTAAATATATTATTGTCTCATAACATTCAAACATACTCAAACATAAAATAAGCATGACATATTTTAATTTACCAGATAATCTGGTTATTTCTGTAGAAATGGGATTGTAGAAACTTAAAGTGGTTTTTAAACATTTTCTTTGTGACAGGCGTCCAGTTTGCTTATTGTTTTGGTTGAAGAAAACTGAAAAAATATTTTGTCATTTCTCAGCAATATAAACAGGATTTAAGTCTGTCTTCATTTGGAAACATTTAGAGTTCAGCAATTAAGAGATTTAAATGCACCAAGATGGACTTCAGAGTATTCGTTAATGAGTAAATGTGGTCTTAGTTAACATGACAACAGAAGAAAGTTTAGAAAGCTACAAAAGATAATCACTTTGTTTGGCATCCAACATTTTTATAAGATTTTGATTTAAAAGTCGTAGGCTTGTCGTAATTTATTCTTGAATTGTGGTTGGGGGCCACCAAAAAAATCAGTCCTGGGCCAGAAATGGCCCCCGCACCCCACTTTGAACACCTTTATGCAAACTTTCTCACATCTTTCTAACTCAACATTCTCATCAAGGACCAGGGTTTCCCCCAGAAAACTTGTTAAGCCCCCCATGTTTTTGAGGTAAAACAAGTTTAAAGTTGACAGGAAATTTTAACACATCACCTCATAGTTATGTGTTATTGGAAAACTGGAAGATTGATACCTGAACACCAACTATAAAGTCTTAAACAAAAAAAAAAAAGGCAATTATGAAAAAAAACTAAAATAAATAAACAATGCTAAGCCTAGTGGGGACACAAGTAAATCCTGGTGGCCCACCAGGCTTATAATACACTGAGGGAAACCTTGAAGGACTGTTCCCTGTCATTATCATTAAATTACCTTGGAGAAATGTTTGTTTCTTTTATTTTTTTCTGCTGTTTTGTCTTTAAAACTTGGATTTAGCTTCTCTTTTCATTCGGAAAATTATATTCTTTTTTTATGCAATCAAAATTGTATTGAGTAAAAAGGTTTAGGCTCCTCTCTGACCAGATAAGGAGCATCTGGTCACAAGGTCACTTGTCTGAGCTCTTACACATTCCTAAATTCTCGTACAAATCAAACTTTATTATATTTTGAGGATTGATTAAACTGACGTGGCTGGTAAAAAAATAGTGGGAAATAAAAGAAAGGCATGCTCAGATGAAAGCCTCCACACGCTTGAGCTCGGCCCACCTGTCGCCACCATGAAGCTGTCAGGCTGAAAATAGATCCAGATCCACAACAGGCTGCAACTCTTCACTCCTGTTTGCAGTTTGTTTTAAAAGCTCAAAACTTTACATTGAAGTTCTTAAAATAAGACAAATATAAAACCCTGAAACGACCTCTACATTCTTTGATTCTGTTGTTGTTGAAGTAAACTAAAATGAGAATTATCCACTGTAGAGCGTTAGCTCCGTCCTGTGACCCTAATTATATCCTGATTCTGTCTGTAATGTCCATAAAACCAGAGATAAACATACTGACCTGATCTCTCAGCACAGCAGCAAACAGAACTGTTTCCCGTCTGTCCTCTGCTCTCCTTAAGTTTCAGCCCCTCCTGCCTCTGATGTGACCCACTGTGAATAAATTAAGAGGCAGAGATCCGTTTTCCAGGCAGATTATTTGCATAGATTCATCTTTTTGTTCAACATCTCTAACAGAGAATATGAAGTGATCTGTCCAGATCAAAACTTTGATCAGATGTTTCTTCATAAAACAAACTTCAGGGCGACTCCATCCGAAACCAAGGAGAAGAAATCATCTGAGCGACTTTAAAAAAAAAAATCTTTTAATTGTTTAACGTTAGTATCTGCAGATGGTTTAGTAAATGCTGGTCATGAAATAAAATAAAAATCCTGCTCATCCTTGGGTTCGTTGAATCAGTATTTCACAAAGTTTTCATCCACAATATAAATAAACACGGACCAGTAAATATATATATGTACATAAATTATAAAAAAGGTTTTTGATCAGTAACGTAAATTTGTACACTCAAATCTTTAGACAGCATAGTTTCATTTCACATTTCATGGTTTTATTTCTGTGATAGTTGAGGCTCCTTATAACTTTTGCTCTTCTGAAAAATGATAAATATTACATAAAACCAATTTTTGCTGCAGAAACGCTTTAGAATAACAACCAATAAATAATTTAAATCCTCCCCAAGGAAGGTGAGGGACAAAAGTTTACTGGTAAAGAATGCTGGTTCCTATCAAATTAATGGAAAGTTCAGTGGAAGGAAAACAACTGGTGGAAATCCATGTGCAGTACACTCATGAATGTTGACATTTCTGAAATAAAATAAATTTAATTTGTCCTTTTTTAATTTTCCAAGGACCTGAATCTAAGAAAGATAAAAAAAAATTGCCAATTAGTTGCTAATTTTTTGATTTTATGTTTGATATTCTAATTTCACATTAACATCTCATAAACAGCAACATGAACATTTTTTTTGTTTTCTCTACAGTAAAAACATGAATTATTTTTGTTACATTTATTCTTATTCTTTTCATTTATTTTTTTGTTTTTACATTATATTTAATGAGTGAATAAAAACAAAAAAAATAAATGCTGAGAAGCTCCAATAAAGTTGAGTAAATGAATGAAGCAAAGCGTTGTAAAGGATTGGATCATTTCTTTAATTTCATGGATTCTGTTTCGTCGTTTTGGGAGATTGATGTTGGATAATCTGGACCACAGTTTCATTTCTGAGCCAACATTTCCAGACAGATGATGGCGGCTTGATGAAGAAAACAGAAATAAAACAAAACGACAAGTAGAAAAAGGCATCGAGAATAAGAAACGCTGCAGGTTTGGTTCAATATCAAATCTGGTGTAGTTGCTGCTTTAGTCTCATCTTCGCTCTTCATCGTTAAACATGGAGCTGCAATTCTCCTAATCCCATCTGAGCGAGAGATCCAGAGATTAAGTCACTGTTCAGGGGGAAATGTTGGGTTTTAAATCTGGCAGCAGAGCGCACACACAGCAAAGCAGCTACAGTATGTTTATGCTTTTGTCACGTTTCACAGAGTTAAAAAAAAAGAACTCTTTCAATATCAAACCAATGATTAACACAGCAGGGATTCATATGGATTATCTAGGGCTGGGCAATCAAGATCCATACATTTTGTCACTTAATCAAATCCTTTTTTTTTTTTTACACTAATGGGTTTCCGAATATCAGTGATGTCAGTGGCCGAAGGCAGCCATCTTGTTTCACAGCTTCTATTTATTTGAATTCAGATCAATGCTATGACAAAATGTTAGAACTGAGATTATTTTAAATTACGAGAATAAAGTCGTAGTTTTATAAGAACTCCAACTCTTTTTCAAGGTTTGAAACACTGGCCTGTTAGCGCAGTTTTTTGTGAAGTTTTATAATCTTTTAAACACATCAGATTATCATCAGTGCAAACAACAAAAAAAATAAACTGCGTGAACCGAGGCGATCACATCAGATCTTAAACATTTATTTTTAAGAGATTTTCTGGTAAAGTGCATCTTTATTTTACTGATATTCTGACTTTATTCTCATAATTAAATATTCTTGTAGCCGGAGTCTTAAAACATCTCAGAATGGATGATCAAAGTAAAAGACACTTTTTGAAAATATTTTCTGTAATTTCTTCTATATAAAATGGAAAAAACCAAGATTACAATTAGAAATGGTATAAAGAAAAAACATCAGCTTGTATTTATAAGCCCTGCAACCAAATAACTTTAAATTTCTTGGATAAACAGAACAGAGATTATGATTATTATGCATTAATTTCAGGATTTGTGCAGAACAAAGATGGGGTCAAAATAAAAATTTAAAAAATGATAATGACTGAAGGAGGGAAAATCCATCTGTACACTATTTACCTGCTACTGCCATGATAAAACTATTCCCAAATATATGAGCAACATCAAGAATATTCTCTTTTTAGCTCTAGCTCTAGTGTTCAAAGCAAAACAAATATGCAAAAAATATATTTATATATTTATCTGTACGTGTTTGTACAGATTGTCCTGTCAGTGGTTTACTAGTACAGACTGATACCAGTCAAATATTCAGGAGTGAAACTCTATGTCTTCATTTGCTGATTCACATAAAAACTACATTTCCCCCCCAACATAGAAACATTTGATTCCTGACATTCTGGGTGTAATTTCATAAATTTCTGCTGAATATAATCCTCATTTTGGACAATAAGAACAGAAAACTGAATGTGGGTTCAGCAAAGTTTTTCTGGGGAGTTTTTAAAACCATCAGCAAATAAAACCAACCTGATAGGAGTCAAAGTGCGCGAGCCTTTGCATAGCAAACTGTACAGAGCTGCTGCTGCTTCTCCGGCGCAGGAGGAAAATATATATAATATTTACAAATTTACACACAGAGGAAGAAGGGGAACGGAAACGGGATTTCAGAGCTAAAGAAGGACAGAGACGAGTCTGAACGGATCTGAACGCCTCGACCAGATACGAGGTCAACGACGAAGTTAGTAGGGGTCAACGTGGTGAACATGGAGGCGAAGCAACAATTAGGTCCCAGACTGTCCCGGATCGGGGCCCACACTGTCCCGGATCGGGGCCCAGACTGTCCCGGATCGGGGCCCAGACTGTCCCGGATCGGGGCCAAGACTGTCCCGGATCGGGGCCAAGACAGTCCCGGACATGAACCCGGGTCCTCCAGCTTCATCACAGCTGCTCCTCTTCACACGCCGTTGGCGCTCATCTTGCTCTTCTGGGACACTTCGGTCGCCGCTTTAGCCTGAAAATATAAAATTATTCAATAAAGTTTCATCCCAGACTTTAGGCTGATTTATCAATTAACAACAACATATATTAAAAAATATATAAATATTTACTGAAAACCATCAGAAAGTTAAAGTGAGATGCCATAGAAGTGAGTTAGTGTTGGGTCGGTTATTTAGAACAGAACTATTAATCCCACAATGGAGACAGTAAAATAAACTCCATTTAAAGGAGACATGATGGCGATATAAAACATATTCTTTACTTTTACGGCACAAATTCATTCCAAGACAATCAAATTTTAGTCTAGTTATTTCTGCCTACTTTAAGCTCCTCTCTGAATACCACCATGTATTTGAAAAGCATTAGTAGAGCCTCCTGCACAACCAACAAGAATGCCACGAGTGGTTTCTGAATGAAAAGTCAACAACAAAACTTTTGTCTTATTCAGCACAGACAGCGTTAAAACTAGTTGACCAAACATGCTGGAGCTCTGCTTTGGTTGCTAGGTAACAGGCTGTGATTTTCTCAGTGAATTTTGCATAATTGGTCCACTTTAATATAAAGATATGCAACACTGGTCTGACCTGAAGAACCTCAGCAGGAGTTAACGGTTTGTCCAGAACCACGGGGGCTTTGTCCCGCAGCTCCTCCACCTGCAGCAAACCGGCAGGAAAATGTAAAGACGACGTAAACAGGGTCAAATTATTTCCATCAAATTCTGTGCATTTTCATTTCATATTAAACAGAGTTTTAAATCAATGTTTTGTGTTTTTATAGTGTCCCATAAAAGCTTCGTCTCATCTGTGGCCGACTTTGAAAATCATAAATAAATCATTAAAATCACAAAACAGGCTAAAAAAAAAATCCTTTTAGTTACCAGTGACACTGAAAAGTCATATTTTAACCGTTTTTAAGAATTCATTTTGCTTATAGAACCATGGAAGACGTTTTAGAAAAAGATGAAGGAAAATAAAATGAATACTTGTCATAGCAACAAGTTAAAACTTGATGTAAATGAATGAAAGATGGTTAAATAGCTGCTAAGGTGTTTAAAATGTATCAGACTCAAATCAAATTTAAAAGCTCAGTTTCCTTTTTCTGGTTTACAAATAAAAATGAGATTTATCTAATAATTTGTTCCTAGATTAAAGTAAAATGGCCCATTTTTGGCTAAATATTGAATTATTTTGAGGAATCTGGAAATAAATTCGGCTGAAAACAGAACAGATTTAATTAAACGTATCAATAAAACCGACTCCAGTTAGAAAATCTAAATCCTCCTGATGGCCTAAACTCCACCGTCTCGTTACACAAATTAAATTATTAATTTATTATTTTTAGGAGCTGCTGACCGGTCTGTCTTTGATGATGACTGCCGGGTCCGCCAGTCGCTCTGACCCAGTAGCAGTCGGGTTTGCTGCTGGGTTTTCTGCAGGAGAAGAAGCAGCTTTCTGCAGAACAAAAACAAAAAAATCTGATCTCGGAAAAACTGCAGTGAAATTTTATCTCAGAAATTTCAGTCGTTTTAAAGTTTAAGTTTTAGCACCACAAATGTGGACTTTATCAGAGTAAAGCCCTTTAAGACTCAAATCTCCGCCTGGACAATCTCCGCCTGGACATTTTTGCTTAATTTAATTGTACAAACTTCTTTAAATATCCTGTCAGTAAATATTTTGCCCATTTCTCCACAACAACTGAAACTTTCAGCATCTAGCAGTTATTTACGATTTACCGTCTATTAAATGAGTGTTTCATCAGATTAAAATGAAGAAAAACACGCTTCCTGCAACGGCGGGATTGAGATTACCGTAATAACCCGATATTGGCTGGAAAGTTCAACGTCTTCTTTCAGAAAACGCAAAGTATCACAGAGTTACGGTACCGCAAAGTTGGCTTGTAAAAGTGTGTTGTGATTAGAGGCAGCTCTGCAATTCATCTGGATTAATAATCAGTGCAGCGGTTTTGATCTCACCTCCAGCTTGGGAACCGGCGGGATGACGGGCGGCTTTGGCTTCAGGTCGGTCAGGTACATGGCTCTGGAGAGCAGCAGCAGCGACGGAGGAACGTTCTCCTTCAGGTGGAGGTCGAGCCACTGAGCCGACGGAAAACATTCATCAGAAACACGGAACCGCCTGCAGGCGGCTCAGATTACGATGTGCGAGCGCCGCTACCGACCTGCTGCAGCTGCTGGCGGAGCTGATCGCTGGTGAGACCCAGAGAACGCATCCCACGACTGCGACACGCCGCCTGCAGCTCCGACACGCTCATGGCCGCCACGCCCTCCGCCGAGATCATCTGAGAACGAGAGGAAGCTGGAACCATCTTTTCTTCTTTACAAAAGATTTTCACACAATTTTAACTGATTTCCAGCCTTGAAAGGTTTTTAAAATGTTTAGAAACACAGTTTGAATTCCCAGAGCTGCAAAATCTCTGTGGTTTTCCTTAGTAATTATTTTAATAAACAATAATATGCAAGGTTGCACACTCTCAAAGGAGAATAATTTTTTATTTATTAAATTAAAATTGATCAAAACTGGAAGTGGAAAATGTTTTAAATATCTAAAATAAAATATATGGGAATATAGAACACACACAAACCAAATTAATAAATGAAATTAATCTGTAAACACATTTTCCATTTAAAAAAACTACTAACAATCAGAATGGAAATAATTCTAATAATTTTAATTAATCAAATAATTAATTTATTATTGTGGAAGATACTAATGGCTTGTGATCATATTCTACATTCTGCAGCAGGGACAAAGTCCTCTAAAGTATAAAAGTTTAATGTTTTGAATGTCACATCTGGTCTGTGAATATCAAACAATAATTTAACAACAAAAAAAAATTTTTAATATATGAAATACAAGATGATCAATAATTCCTTAAGACATTAGGAATCAGAAATATTCAAAATTCAAACACAAGATACAAAGAAAGTCACACAGAAAATCCCCAAAAAGAGAAACTCTTAGTATGTTTTCTGGAATTTGGCAAATATAAATTACTTTGTTAATTATAAATGACCTGAAACAAGAAAAGTTTAACCTGATTTAACTTCAGACCGAGAGAAAAAAAGTGCGTCTTTATAAGATGGATGAAAATATTTCAAACCTGTGTTCATTGAATATCAGTACTTTCCAAACCTTGAAATCATGAAATGAAATTCAAGGATTTTCAAGGATTTCCAGCCTCACCCTGTTTTTCTGCTCTGATGGAAGCTAAATGATCCCGAGGCGTTTAGTCTCACCTCGTCGTCCGACTTGATGGCTCTCAGTTTCATCATCAGCTGGAAGCGCAGCAGGTTGTTGGTGCCGATGGGCTGCAGCTCCAGCAGTTTGCACAGAGCCACCAGCTGGGGGCGCTCCAGGTGCTCCAGCGTCAGCTCGTCTTCAAACAGCTTTGAGAAGCGGACGATCTCCTTCGTGGACGGCTGCTCGCCCGTTCCCCGAACCTAAGACAGGAAATTTCATATTTAAGCTACAAACAGACATAAATACCTCTTTAGTTCATGAAGAGGAGTAAAAATATCAGGTTATATCATTTAGATATAAACATTTCAAACTAAATAAGCTTTGTCATTTACTTAGGGGTGTTCAAAGTGTGGCACAGGGGCCATTTATAGCCCTTGGATTGATGATATTGTGGCCCCCCCATCAGGAGTTCAAGAACACTACAAATTGTTTTTCTACTGAATTTTTTATTTGTAATCAGGGTAAAATTATTACTTATGTAATTTTCTCACAATGGAAATTGTTAAGTACAACAAAAATATTGGCTTTTTTAAAGTCAAGCTGTTGTTACAAGTACAGCTAAATTTATCCAGGAATCCAAATTTGCTGGAACGAAATCAACTTTAATTTATAAAACTTTTTGAAATAAAAGTGTTTTACATTTTAAAACTAGATGCCTTTATTTTAACAAAGCAAATACGCAAAATCCTTTTTGAGTTTTGGACTGAATAACTTCTCTTTCCAATAATTGAAAAAAGCTACTTAATTTGCTGAGTTTTATTTCTTTCTTTCTTTTAAATTCTCGGCCAACAAGATATAAAGTTTTGCAGCCTGATATTTTCTCTCCTGGAGTGATCGTGTTGGTGGCATTAAATGTCAAGTGGAGTCACGCGTAATGAATATTGAATAAATACACAAACTGCTTGACATAAGCTCTGTATTATGTGAGCTTTGGGCTTGCCATATTCCACAACATGCCCTCCAGAACCCATAAACTCCTTTAGAAACAAGCAGGTAGATCCTAACCATGTTGTAACACTTCATCATCTTGTATTGCGTTGGTATGGAGTGCTTTTAGTGCTAAGCAATAAAAAGACACGACATTTCTCTTGTTAAAGAGGAAGGACGAAACTTTAGGAGGAATACAGCTACAAGAATCCTAAATCAACTATAGATCCAATTCATATGATGTAATAGTTTATTCTGCTGTGATAAAAGTTAAAAAATGTTGCTGTGTTTCACCTTCTGAACGTATTTGGAGAATCTCTGGGTCTCATCCTCAATCTGGGCTTTAGCTTTGTTCCTTCGGGCCATTTCAGCGATGGTTTCCTGGAGGAACTTGGCCAACTCCAGCTTCGCAGCCAAACCCTTCTTCTGCTTCTCCTCCTGCAGAAACAAAAACATTTACTACAATGAAAACAAAATTTAACAGTGTAGCTTATACTGTGTATGGTGCTGTACACATGACAATGTTGTTTTTCTTTAAATAAATCTGTTTTTTCTTTCTTTGTTAATAGTGTGAAAAACAAACAGTTGCAACTAAAACATTAATAGTGTTGCTATTGCTTAATATTATGCAGGTAAAGAGGTTTAGTAAATATAAGCTGCATTAAATGTTTTTTTTAAAAAAAAGCCAAGAAACCAAATTAAATATAAATATACAAAGTATTTTTCTTTAAATAAAACTTGCATAAAAGCCTCTACAGTCAGGATGAACATTTCAGCCACACGCCTAAAATGTTTTCTGTCAAACTGAGACGTCTGATGAGTTACGTAATCGCAACAAGCCGTGGAAAGGTCACCGAGGTCAAAGGGCATACAGAAACACGAACCTTTTTAGACTCCGTCTCAAAGGTCGATGGCAGCATTTCTGGAAACAGCTTGAGGAAGACAGGAAGCAGGAACTCCATAAAAGGAACGATGATGAACACCATGAAGGGAACGAGGCGGAAGAGGTCGGCGCAGGTCCTCATCAGCTGCAAACGCAAATAAAACGATGCGTCACAAACTGACGAGTCTGACCCGCAGCTCTGCTGACGACATGCAACATGTGGCTTCCCTCTTACAAAATAATTCTAATTTAGATTTACCAGGGTTTACACCAGTGTATTATAAGCCTGGCGGGCCACCAGGCTTTATTTGTGCCTCCACCAGGCTTAAATAATTTGTTTTTTAATATTTGCATTTTTAAGCCTTGATAGTTGGTGTTCAGGTATCAATCTTCCAATCTTTCAAAAACACATAATTATCAAGCAATATTTTCAAATTTCCTGTCAACTTTAAACATTTTTTAACTCAAACACACGACGGGCCGCTGGCTGAATGACTGGCCTGTCGTCTGACCACATTTATTTATATTCATTTTGTTCAATGTTACTGAATTTTAGGCAACAAAATGTTTAGTTTTTCCATTTAAAAAAAGAAAGGAATTGTTTTGCTCATTTGCATGTTTAATGTATTCCTAGTATTAGATTAAAAAAAGAGGCTTATGTGGTTAAGATTAAAAATGTGCCAATTTTTTACCCAATTAATCATCATTATAACTGATAGATTAATCAATTACCAAAATAATCATTACTTGAAGCCTTACAACTTTGGGAAAAGATCATTTTAATTCTAGCCGACCAAATTTATTTTAATCAAATTATTAATTTTGCAAGTGCAGCAAGAAATGGGCACATTTCTGAAAAGACTAAAATAATGTCGCTTTTTAAAAACATTTTCTGTCTCTTGTTTCTATTTTAGAGAAGATCATTTTTAAAATCTATTTCTCTGTGAAATTAAAGTAAAAATCTATTCAAACTGATATCAAAAATGCCTAAAATAATCACAATACGTCTTTAAAATTATTGTTTTATAATTAAAAGTCTCAACAGCAACTTCTAAATTATATTATAAATGCCAGATGGACGTTTGCAGATTTTAAAAATACATAAAAATAAATATATTTTTAAGATTTTCTTCTGGAAAAAGTTTGTTTTTGGGGAGAAACTATTGATTTTATTGAAGATGTTGGTTTGATGAAGCTGATCAGCTGATATCCAGAAATTCAAACCAGATAGATCAATGATGGATAATAAAGCAGAAGCATCGTCTCACCCTCCGCCTCTCCCTGCGCGTCAGGGCCTGTCCGTGCAGCAGAATCCACACAGTCCTCCCAGCGATCTTTGTGTCGATTCCCAGCAACCTGAAGCCGTTGTAGTAATGCTTCAACTCGTCAACGATTCTCTGATACAGAGACTTTTTCACCATCGCCCTTTCCTGGGCTGGAGGAACCGCCGCTGCTGGAGCTGACGGCGGCTGAGAGTCCGTTACCATGGTAGGAGCAGCAGCAGCAGAGTCTTTTTTCTCCCCGTCCTGAGAAGCAGCTGGAGACGTTTTGGTGTCGTCCTGCTTCACATCCTGGAGCCAAACGGCGGAGCTGTGCAGAGCCCGAGCGAGCAGGACGGAGCCGTCGCCACGGCTGAGGGAGTGGGCGCAGTGATGGTGGCCGTAGCGGGAGTGTCTGGGAGGAAACGAAGACGAGGCGTGGCGGGGAGCGTCTACGCACAGATACGCTCTAGAGGACAGAGGGGAGCAGCTGTGCCTCTTGGACAACAAGTACGATCCTCTGAGGACGGAAAAAACATGAATTAATGATCAGTTATCTTAAGGTCAATCAATATGTTTATTCACTCAATTTAGTAAATGTTAATGTACAAACATCTTATAACTTTTACTCTACATGAGTGAAAATGGAGCAGGAAGAAGAAAAATCCTGTTGCCTAAATCTTTATATCAGTGCCTTATTAGTTTCAATGTATTGAGGTTTATTGCTTATTGTTACAGTTTTAGTTTTAAAATAGAAAATATTATTCAGAGACTGTTTTATGAGCTTCATATATGAATCTACATATTAAGACAGCTGATTTTTATATAGTAATTAATCATTTCTGTTTGCTTAATTAGGTCTAGTGATATAAAGATTTCGCTCAAACTTATCAGAATCCAATAAAAAAACAATTAAATGTTCTAAAAAAACAAAAAAGGAAAATTGTGGCTAAGTAATACTAATTAGGCAATAATAATCAAATAAAATGCACCATAATTTTGCTTTCTCATTAGTCATTCATCTGCACAAAATAATTATGCATTTTTATTTATTATGTAAATATTTTACACTTTTATAATCCAAAATTATCCTAACACGTTGCCTTATTACAGCTTAATGCAGTGAGACATAAAACCATGTATTTATTTAAAAGTTTGTCTCAATCTGGTTCTGCTTGTGTGAAACTTCGCCTGGCCTAATTATCAACTTTCTGTCTGAACGTCGAGGATCTCTGAGCCTCGACGTTCCTCAACTTTCTCTGCAGAAAAAAAGTGATGAGCCGCTCCTCTTTGTGCAGAACAGAAAAACCATCTGGGAGTCAGGAATAGACAAACCAGGCCAGCAAAGGCAGCAGGACATGAATCCAGAACCCGGAAGCAGATTTACAACATAAGAACTAAAAACTGAAGCCATCTTTCTAGGTAAAGAAATCTTGTTTTCAGAGGGAACAGCTCAGGCAGAGCCAGTTCCAGTACCTATAAATAAATGTTCATATTGTCAAAAGGTTTTGGTGAATCATGTTGAGCCGCTCCTCTTTATCTCTTTCTAGGAAACACTTATTCTGTCTAGGAAGTGATTTATGGTTTCAACAGTGAGAAATGCTGCTGTTCACCTCAACTATGCCTCTTCGTTTAATTATAATTCCAACCAACAGTCAGATACTTTAATAAGAGACATATTTATGCTTCCTCAGAAAATACATCTGATCAAAAAACAATGATGAAATCATCATTGGTAAGTTAAAGGTTCAGATTTTATTAATACTGATGGATATACTTTTTAAGACCACATCAAATACTTTAATTTCAAGGTCTAAGAACTGGATAAAATTGAACCAAAACGATATTTGATTTTTAAATATCGTAAATGTTTTTGATTTTGTAGTTTTAAATATATTGTTTCATACATTGCTTTTTCATCATTTTATTATATTTACTGTTGATGTCTTCATTTAAATTAACCTTTAAAAGGTCCTTCCAGGGACAGGTGTCGCAAATTAGCGAGCTAAAGCTAAAAACATTGTGATGCAGCCATTAGGTTGTCTTGATCTGTTTCTTCTATCTGCCGTCTTCAAATAAAAATTTTAATAATAATAGTTAGAGCTATGATGGTTTGAATAGGGTTCCTAATCTGTGGCATTTTAGAAAAATTAGAAGATGAAAATATGGCATCATAAACATCTTCAGTAAATTATATGTTAATTGATTTATAAGAAATTGACAAAAGGGGAGAACTGATGGAGTCAAGAAGACAAAATCAAACTACATCACTTTAAATGGCTGGTAAAACTTATCTGTTAATCAATTTTTTGGTTCTTGAAGACTGAATTTTTATAAAATCTGAATTTTTTTTCCAACACTGCACTGCTCGAGTTTCCAAAGGTCAGAGTGACAACGGTTCACATCAAACCTATTATATTGTTTAACAAACTGTTTTACAGCTTCCATTTATTTGGACTTTCAATTTAATTCAGGTCAAATTTACAACAAAGTATCAGAGCCAGATTAAGATTTTAATTTACACAATACAGCTGTGATGGTGGGAGAATAAAGTAGTATGACAATAAAGGATTACTTTTAGCACAATAAAGTTGTAAAATTAGTAGGATAAAATTGTAATTGTACAACAACACCTGTACAAAAAATATTAAAAAACTAACTTAAAATGAGGAATATTGTGAGGTTATACTTTCGTATTGGTTTTACAGAAAGAAATGCTTCATTTTTTTAAACACACCAGCATCAGGACTTTGAAATGCTCAAGAAAGAACTACATGACCAAGCTTTTTTTTAATTAAAACAACTTTTTTCCCGTAACTTTAAAGATGTTTTTTTGGTAAAGTTACATCTTTATGCCGCCAATATTCCGACTACATTCCTGCAATTAAAAGATTATTGTAGCCGTGCCCCGATAGTCCCATCGTACAACTCACAAAACATAATAAAAATAAAGCAACTTTTAAAAATATTTTCTGCCATTTGTAATTTCTTTATTAAAACAAAAAGAAAGACAAAAAAGTCCTACTTTAAATTCTGTCAACTTTTAGCAACATTCCTCTGTACAGTAATCTCAGCATCATGTTCTGAAATCTTACTCAATGAGAATCTCTTCTGCATGAAAGTGGATGCTTTTCTGCAGAACCCACACTTCGCTCTGACTTAGTACAGACTACCCCCAGTTGTTTGTCACTGTTTGCCCTGGTGATGAGTTATGTGCCCCACCGTTTACCTTGATCTGGTGACTGCCAGGAGCACCTGGTGACTAAAGACTGCCATTGCAGAGTCAGATCACGCTGTTCTGTCGAGGTTCACATGGAGACAGAGCATGCAGAGGTCAGGTAACAGTTCATGCATCAGCTGAGAAAACAGTAGCAATATCCAATTAATCACTTTGACAGTTTGATAGTACGGCTAAGTGCAGTTTGACAAACGCATGACTAAAAACTAAACGATTATAGGTTTACGCCTCAGATGTCTGCCTCATTAAACACCCATCTGACACATGCATCTATCTCATTGTATTCAGCCAAAGTAAAATAAGTAAATATAAACAATAGAGGTGCATGTTTTCAGAGCTTTGTTTAGTTGCTAAACAGTGAAACTTTTGACATGAAGCTCCGCGGAAAGTCTGCAACATTTTGGAAATTTTCCACTGACGTTCCTCGATGTACTTTTCAGCGCGATTTAAAAAGTAAAACCTGTCAGCAAACAAAGGCGAACGATACAGAATAACGCCATTCGCTAAGCTAACCGGTGTTGTGCCGTAAAAACACTCCGGTTCATCATGGGAAGCGCTTTAAAACCATTTGTTTTAAATATCAAAAATATCGTAAATACAATTTAAACATTATATAAAACCATTTTTAATACGCTAACTTATACATATGTTGTGCCGTTTATCATGGCTACCAGAGGTGGTGTGCCGAAAAGTGCACCCCAGATTGACGTGCACCTCCTTAGCTTAGCCTTAGCATTTTATTTGCTACAGCTATTTGTCAGCTGAAATGGAGTCCACTAACCTCCAGCGTCAGCGATCAAGCAATGGCTACCGCTGCTGACGGGGCGTCGGAAGGCTTCTAGGTGAGACGTGGACGATATTATCCATCCAAAACAGACTGGAGATGTCAACAGAATTCGCGAAAGAAATGTCTGGTGTTGTGATAAACCCATTTACAGTGGGTTTATGTTTTAAATCGTATCCGTGAGCGTCGAGTTTCTGCTCCAGAGCGTTGTAAGCGACAGCCTCCCCAGGAGGCTGCACATAAAGCTCACGTTGAGCATGCGCAAATGTTTGTGGCAATGAGCTAACAAAGAACGTCTATTTAAAAAGAGTATTTACTCCCTGAGTTTTTCTTTTGTTTTGTTTTGTTTTTTACTAAAACGTGCAAATTGTAAAGTGTGTCTGATATTTCATCCTTTCAGATGTGATATGTTAAGACAGCAATTATGAGCATCTACGCTTAATAAATAATACTGACGACACTGAGATTTCCAAAAATCGGAATCTTTACTGCACCCTAATTAGGACAAGGGTGTTAGAAAATGGATGAATGGATGGATAGCGACTTGACATTTGATTGGAAATTGTATGTGTTTCGTTTTATTATTCAGCACGTTTTATTCATAAAGACGTGCACCTCCTTTCATCTAGCACCCACAGGACTGAAAATTGAAGATAGGTTATCAAAGAGGAGTTCGGTTCGGAGTTCCAAAAGGTCGATGCAGAGTGAGACGTCTGGCATTTCACGACCTCGGAGCTGCAGATCAGCAGAGGAGGTTGAGAGAGCCAATCAGAGACGCTGTTGCAAACGTAAGGGCTGTATTTACGAGGTTACGTGCTACTGTAATTTATCTGCATTTAAACTGTTTATGCATATTTTTATTGCTATCTTCTGCTTTTAATATGCTTGTAGTTTTTCTGTTCGTGAAGCGTTGACCAAATCAAGTAAAACACACATCACACATCATCCTTCCCCTCGAATGTGTGAAATCTTTTCCTTGTATGGCAAGAAAATGTGTCATTTAATCATCAGTACGCTCTTCAAACCAGTTATGTTGACATCATACTAATTTAGATTCAAATATATCATAAATTAAAACGGTTTCTTATATTTCAGTAGGAGACAAAGCAACCTCAAAAGTAATTTTATATCAAGTAAATATATATTTATAAACATTCAGTGTTCTTTCCAGGGGAATCATAACATCATAAATCACTGAATTAATTTCAACCATCTCTGTAATGACAAGTACCACAATGTACTGTAATGTATTATTTTTATTTAAAAAAAAAAAGTGAATTCATGACATTAAGCAAATATTTATCATTACCATACCACAGCATACTATTTTTATTTATAAAAGGACTTTAAAATAATTTAATGTCTACAAAGAGCTGTACATATGCAAGTTAAACAGAGGTAAGTTAAATCATTAATGTGCAGGATGTGCAGAAGGCTTTAGTGAATAAATTTGTTTGAAAAAGATTTTTAAGTTCAGAAAGAAAAGAAAAAAGCCAATCACAATTTGCACATAAAGAAACTTAATAAGATTAATAGGCACTTATTAAATCTTTAATATTAAATTTAATGTTAAAGGAGCACTTATTTTCTAGCTTTCGTCAAATAGTCATGGTAATGGCTGTAGACTTTTTGAAGTTTTTTTCTAGCTTAAAAAATATTTAAGCTGGAAATATTTTTCCAACTTAAAAATATTTACATTTTTAAGCTGAAGATGAGCACCTGCACTGACTGACTGACTGACTGACTGACTGGAAACCTCCTGATTTAAAAGTTGTAACTTTGGTGTCTTATTGGACTCCATAAACTTTAGTTTAGTTAATCACTTAGTTTATAGAAGATCTGAATTAAGCTGACAAAACAACCACAAACCAAGTCCATGCTGCCTTTTTAATACTGACTACACAATATTCAGTGTCGACAAATGTCAGTTACCAACAAAAACAAAAAGATACACTATTCAAACACAAATAAAAATGATCGATTAATGCACATGTATGCATTTATCTAATCTACTATCATTTAATTTATGGCTGAATGTATTCACACGAAGAGGTAAACAAACTCATGTAAAAATACCAAAATTTTTATTAGTCTTGTACAGTGTATTATCATTACTATTATTGTTGTTATTGTGAAATTTGTTTTTATTGTTTTTAACACTTTTAAGAACTTCTTTGTGAACTTTTATGCTGCTGTTGTACCTGAATTTTTGTGGGAAAATAAAATCTGTTTCTATTGTGCTATAAAAGAAGAAAAAACTGCCTGATGAATGAATGCTAATTACAGCTTCAGATTATATTTGATCATATGATCTCATTACTTGAGTAAACTTTTCACCAAATAATTGAGTAATTTCTTGGGTGGCTACATTTTACTTTAACTCGAGTAAAAATATGTCGAAGTAGTGCTACTTTTACCTGATTACAATGTTTGGGTACTCTGCATCTTTACTTGACTGGTGTGACGTCACTCACACGTCAGAGTTTCAAATTCCGTGCTGAATGGAATGCAGCAATAAAAAAAAAAAACCTCATAGAGTTAGATGATTATATGGTGCAACAGCCTGCCATACACTGAACCAAGCGGGACTTAAAAGCGATATTACAGAGCGCTTTTGTGAAACTAAAGGAAGAGGACGCTAGAGATGAGCCTTGAGAAGGCAGGAGGGGCGAGAATTAGACGTGTCTTTCTCCAACAGGGTTCCGACTAAATGCTGGGGTCTTAGCACCGACGAAGAGCCAGGCTTTGGGATTGGATAGCGACCATACAGCGTAACAACACCCCCGCCCCCCATCATCATCTCCTCTGTTGAGAATTGCGTTAAAAAAGGAAAGGCCTGAGCTTTGTCAACATTACGGGATTAATATATTTTTTTATTTTTTGATCTTGTCCCCCCCTCCTGTAGATTAAGAGGAACGGTTGCAGGCTGGTGTATGTGTTTAGAATGGGACACGCTGAAGGTATTTGCATCTTTATTTCTCTGTTTTACCCGCATCTTTCGGCTCGGCATCAAAATCTGTGCTGCCCCTTCGCTCTTCCTCCGGAGCGACAAGCGTGTTTGGCGGGTCTGCGCCGTAGTTAGCCGTCCCCTCGCCTCCTCACGGGCGGGTATCGCTTGTTTCCGACACATTTTTCGCTCCGAACCGCCAGTGATGGAGGTTTAATCACTACAGACAATTTGATTTAAAGGGGCACAGGCAGCCATATTAGGAATGCAGCGTTAGCCAACATTAGCATCTCCTTTCATCTTTCCCATGTTTGCCCCGCATTACTGAACAACAGGAGACGCCTAGCTGTGTGTGTCTGGATATTAAAAGGCATTTAGTGGTTTCATGTTGAGATTTTCATCTCTATAAACCCCCGACGTCTTCTTATTTTGATCCATTTGATGCCCGGTAGCTTGATGCTAACATCGCAGGCAGCTAAAACATCATTCAGTGAAATATGTGTTTTTTCTGAGTGCGCAGTCGTTTTGTGATGAAACCAACACATTTATTGCCAGCTGTTATGATTTACTGAGTCGCTTGTGAGCGAAATGAATCCCCTGGATTGATGTTGGTGGCTTTTGACCGCTAATCGACACCGTATGGATGTTTACATTATTTACCTTTCGGTTGCTGAGGAGCCTGTGTGCGTCCGCACGTCCAGTCACATTGAGTGGATCAGTCCATTTCACTTCACGCTTTTAAACCCGATTAATCGATCATCACAGATATTAGATGTGTGAAAGCAGCTGCCGTGAGAAACCTCTTTGTTTTGTTTGTGAAAGCTCGTGTTGATGGGATTAAATGCACAAAAACAAAAGCCTGCAAAAGCTCAGTGCATTAAACCTAAAATTTAAATGTGTAATGTAAAAATGTAATGTTTGTTGACAGGATTAACCATTTAACATCTGTAAGTATCTTGCATGCAAGCTTCAAAATTCACCTGCCCTTTAAAAATAAAAAATACATATATAGAGTTCAGGTTTTTACTAGAAATGATCCGATCTGCTTTTTCTGGTTTATACTGATTCCTGGTTTTCTTTGAGATCTATTTCATTGTTCACTACTTCAACATAATTTCACTCAAGTGAAAATAAAAGTAAAGAAATTGCTCAAAATATTTTGTAAAATGCTACTTCATAAGTGAGTTCTCAATCATAAGATCTGAATAAATGTCATCAGGCAGACAAAAATGTAAAGTTGTGTATCAATTCTTAAAGAGAAAAATGAATACAAATAGCTACATAGCTACAAAGGAGAGATTAAAGCAGAAGTACTACTTTCCAAATAAAAAATTTCAACATTAGGTTTATGAAACCAGTACTTAAATCAACACTTGAATGTATTTTGGTCAAAATATGCTAACTCTTTATTTATTTTTCATAAAATCACCCTAGGTAATCATATATTATCTAGTTACTACCCACCTCTGCATTTAAGATTAGCTACTCTTTGTTAATCCCTGTTGCAAGATTTCCCCAGAAAACTTGCTAAGCCCAGTGGTTGGGGCACACAGAGCATCATTCATCCTGTGTTTTTATTATAAAATATTTAAAATTGACAAGAAATTTTAAAATATCACGTGATAATTATGTGTTATTAGAAGATTAATGTCTGAACAGCAACTATACAGTCTTAAAAAATGCAAACATTTTTTAAAAACTTAAATAAATAAGCAGTGCTTAGCCAGGTGGGGGCACAAGTAAAGCCTGATGGCCTGTCGGGTTTATAATACACTTTGGGAAACCCTGGCTGTTGGGGGAAATTACAGTTAACATAGCAGCCCAATAAATGGAAACAAAAGAAAACGGACACAAAAGAGAAAGATGTGCTGCAGTTTTGTTTCTTTCCTGCATAAACCCAAAGAAATTAGTATATTGTCCACTTCTAATGTGGTACAAATGGGTTCTGTCACAATTATGAACCATTGTTGTTGTTTCCAGGACAACTTTCATATACAAATGAGAGCTGTCTTCAAAAGGACATTTCCAATTAATTAATAACCCCCCAGGGATATGTATGATGTTTAAAAGCTGATTATTTTGAAGTAACTCGTCGTCTACTGTAGGTTAATGTGGACTCCACTTAACGTCCTCCATCTGGTCACTCAGTCATTTTGGATTTCTCATATTTTATGAGCTGAAATGAGGATTACAACCAGAATGAATATGAGGAATGCTGTATTTTCAGATGTCATACCATTAAACGGAGGCATTTTATTGACTATTTATCTTCATAATTCATGAAA